TCACTACTATCAGTCACTTCCTCATCCTCACTCTACTCTCAGTCACTTCCTCATCTCCTCACCATACTCAGTCACTTCCTCATCCTCACTAATCAGTCACTTCCTCGTCCTCACTACTCTCAGTCACTTCCTCATCCTCACTACTCTGTCACTTCCTCATCCTCACTAATCAGTCACTTCCTCATCCTCACTACTCTCAGTCACTTCCTCATCCTCACTACTCTCAGTCACTTCCTCATCCTCACTACTCTCAGTCACTTCCTCATCCTCACTACTCTCAGTCACTTCCTCATCCTCACTACTCAGTCACTTCCTCATCCTCACTACTCTGTCACTTCCTCATCCTCACTAATCAGTCACTTCCTCATCCTCACTACTCTCAGTCACTTCCTCATCCTCACTACTCTCAGTCACTTCCTCATCCTCACTACTCAGTCACTTCCTCATCCTCACTACTCTCAGTCACTTCCTCATCCTCACTACTCTCAGTCACTTCCTCATCCTCACTACTCTCGTCACTTCCTCATCCTCACTACTCTGTCACTTCCTCATCCTCACTACTGTCAGTCACTTCCTCATCCTCACTCTCTTCCCTACCAGCCGCCTTCTGACTCTTTTCATGCTCTCCCTCCTCTCCTCCTTCTCTCTTTTCCTCATTACCGTTTTCTCTCTTCCTTTTTGCTCTCTCTTTTCCTCATTACCGTTTTCTCTCTTCCTTTTTGCTTCACTCTCTCTTCCTCATTGCCTCTATTGTGCCCTGACAGTTCTCCTTCTCCCTCTCTGTTTGGTCACTGCCATTGGCAGGCAAACAGGTCTATGTGAGACAGAGAAAATAACTTGTTGTTGACACAGACAATGTTGCATTGAACACCATACAGTGCCTTCAGAAAGTATTCACACCCACTTTACCTTTTCCACATTTTGTTGGGTTACAGCCTGCATTTAAAATGGATTAGACTTCATTTTGTGTAACTGATCTACATACAGTACAATACCCCATAATGTCACAGTGGGATTTTGTTTTAAAAAATGTTTAAACATTAATTAAGAATGAAAAGCTGAAGTGTCTTAAGTCAATAATTATTCAACCCCTTTGTTATGGCAAGCATAAATAAGTTCAGGAGTAAAAATGTTGCTTAACAAGTCACATAATAAGTTGCATGGATTCACTCTGTATGCAATAATAGTGGTTAACATGTTATTTAATGACTACTCCATCTTTGTACCCCACACATACAATTATCTGTAAGGTCCCTCAGTCGAGTAGTGAATTTCAAGCACAGATGAAATCACAAATACCAGGGAGGGTTTCCAATGCCTCGCAAAGAAGGGCACCAATTGATAGATTGGCGGGAAAAAATTAAGTTCTCAATTACCCTTTGGATGGTGTATCAATATACCCAGCCATTACAAAGATACAGGTGTCCTTCCCAACTCAGTTGCCGGAGTGGAAGGAAACCGGTCAATGAGGCCAATGGTGATTTTAAAAAGGTTACGGAGTTTAATGGCTGTGATAGGAGAAAACTGAGGATGGATCAACAACATTGTAGTTACTCCACAATACTAAACTGCATGACAGAGTGAAATAAGGGAGCTTGTACAGAAGAAAGATGTATCCTGTTTGCAATAAGGCACTTAAGTAATATTGCAAAAAATGTGGCAAAGAAATTAATTGTTTGTCCTGAATACAAAGCGTTATGTTTGGGGCAAATCCAACACAACACATCACTGAGTACTACTCTTCATATTTTCAAGCATGGTGGTGGCTGCATCATGTTATGGGTATGCTTGTCATCGGCAAGGACTAGGGAGTTTTTTAGGATAAAAAGAAACGTAATAGAGATAACCACAGGCAAAAACCTAGAGGAAAACCTGGTTCAGCCTGCTTTCCAACAGACACTGGGAGATAAATTAACTTCTCAGCAAGACAATAACCTACAACACAAGGCCAAATATACACTGGAGTTGCTTACCAAGACGGCATTGAATGTTCCTGAGTGGCCTAGTTACAGTTTTGACTTAAATCAGCTTGAAAATCTATGGCAAGACTTGAAAATGGCTGTCTAGCAATGATCAACAACCAACTTGTGGGGGGGGGGGGGGGGGGGTTGGTATGTTTGGTATGCTTACCTGGTATGAGTGGATGTCTGGTAACTTAGGGTTGGTCTAGAGGAGAGTGGTGGCGGACTGATCACTGTGTGACCCAATAGCAGAGGCATCCCATGCTTCCTCTCTCTTTTATTCTGGCAACTGCTTCTCTGAAGGCAACCACACCCTTCCCCTTGAGGAGTGTCCCCCTCGCACCTGTATCCTTGGATGGGCCTCTGCATGGCAGTGGAGACTGAGCAGAGCCTGGAAGGGACTTCTGGGGTTGGGAGTAGAAGGGCTTTGTTCTGTTCAGCTGCATCAAGGTGCTCTGGGTCTGGAAGACAATGATGGGTACGCTTGCCCATCATGTTGGAACCCCAGGAGCCACATTGGCTCCCCACTGCACTCCGATTGGACACAGAGCATTCATGGAGGACAGTGTTGGCGACAGAGCAGTGATCTGACGAACTGGCAAGCGGACGTCCCATTGGGTACTTATAGCTGGGTTTAAGAACTTCGCCCCATGATTGACTCTGTAAAGGGAAAAGCATGATGGGTACAGATTAATAAACAGTGTTTATATCAGTTATGTCTGAACAGTCATCTCGCCGATTCAATAATGCCCTTCAGACGTTTGAGCTGCGCAACAATATTTTGGCTGATCTGCTCCTTCTTGGCCTCCTCTACCAGCTTCTCCCTCTGGGTCTTTCTGAGTTCTCACTACAGTGCATCATTTCCATAAATTAACAAAATCTTCCACATTGTAAGCTACGAATCTGCACATTCATATAGGTCAGTGATCAGAACCCATTTCCAGCATCACGAATAAATGATTGCTTGTCACAGCCAACACAATCTCACACTCAATTCGTGCAAATATGTGTTGCAATAGCTGTCAGCTGCCTTCCACATCTTTCAATATGAAATCATAGTGAAGTCATTTAGCTCGCGGCTGTTGACGCGGCCACGCACCATGTGTCCAACTTGGCATAGCCTATACATTCATACATGAATTTGCTTTTAGTTGCAAAATACAAATATTCCCAAATGGAATCATGAACTCTACCAAGTAGGCCTACCAAGCCATTTTAGCCAAAAACCTGGTTCCCTATGCAAGGAGGCTGAAACTTGGCCGCCAGTGGATCTTCCAGCAAGCACGGCAATGACCCCAAGCACACGTAAAAATCCACAAATAAATGGTTATTTGACCACAAAATCAAAATCTTGCAATGGCCATCTCAGTCTCCGGACTTGAACACCATTGAAAACCTGTGGTTTGAATTTAAGAAGGCAGTACATAAGTGCAGACCGAACGATGGATATCAAGGATCTGGAAAGATTGTGGATCGAGGAATGGTGTAGGCCTATATTCCTCCCGGTGTGTTCTCCAATCTCATAAAACATTTTAGAAAAAAGCTCAGTGCTGTTATCTTCGCAAGGTGAGGGTGCTGGAGTATTGAAAACAGGGATGACAATCATTTTGACACCTATCTTCTGAGAATGTGTTTTATTACTTGTTAAACAAAATATATTTCTCTGAGCAATTGTATTACTATAAAATAATATAATTTTCCGATTTGTTTTAGCATACAATATAGCTCAGCATTTGTCTTATTTATTTTATACAGTCTTTTTTGCTCATCTTTATCAAGGGTGCCAATAATATTGGAGGTGACTGTATATCTGCAATTGCTACAACTGAAGAACAGCGCAAACAGCGATCCCTCTCGGTTAAAGGGGCAATCTGCAAATGGTAGGCTGCATCCATTTTTGGACTAAATTAATTATATATACTGTAGGCCTACCCATTGATTCCTGAAGAATATAACTTATACATGCCTCATGAGCTTATTCAACTGTCTTAGGCCTACACCATCAGAACCCAAAATACAGTATAAGCTACTGCAAGCTTATTTTACTCCAATGTTTGTAAACAATGTAAATGTAAACAAACACTGTGTAGGTTAAAACTTTTGATATCATGGACGGTCTGTCCTTGAATCCATAGAGGTGTCTATGAATATGAGAGTAGTTACATTTCTCTTGCCCCATTCCTCTGCTGTTTATCAAATCAGTGGTTGGGTACACGCTTTGTTATTGTTTGAACTGCAGTTTGCCTCCTTAACCGGAGTGCTGCTAATAAGATAATTAATCGATAGTTGAGCCTAGATGAATATAATTTTATGTCTTAGGCTACAGATACTGAATAATATTGATTCGATAATAGGCTAACTGAATAATAGCGTAGCGTGTGTTTGTGTGTGTGTGTGTGTGTGTGTTGTGTGTGTGTGTGTGTGTGTGTGTGCTTGTGTGTGTGTGTGTGGTGTGTGTGTGTGTGTGTGTGTGTGTGTGTGTGTGTGTGTGTGTGTGTGTGTGTGTGTGTGTGTGTGTGTGTGTGTGTGTGTGTGCGTGTACGCACGCGCCTTCACGGGGGTGGAGCTGACAATCATAGAATGAGGTTGCCTTTTTCCTCTGCTGACTCCCACTTGCAGGAGGAGCACTTGCCTCAGATTACTACATTTCCAGAGCCTGGCAGGTAGTGAGCATCGACAAAGTGTTCCGCTGGAAGGCTGCATGCAGACAACTTTTCCAGACAACTTGCTGCAGCAAACAACAACAAACCAACCGACGCAACAGTTCGTAATGTTATTGAATGGAATACTTATTTCACAAATGCGAACATTGAGGGAAAGGGCCTATTTTCAGATGTGTTTCCATGCGCTAGTCTTGTGTGTGTACAACTAACCGAGTGAAAGCGCAGAAGTGGCCCTAAGTGGCTGACTTTAGGAGGTCACTCAGTCATCATGGCTTATCCTCAGGGCTTTCTCTTCCAACCGTCGGTTTCTCTGGCTCTCCATTCCTGTCCCCCGTTCAGTTCCAGTGTGATTTTAGGAAGACCGAGGACAGATGAAATGGGCCGGCCGTCTTCAGGCTCAGCCTTCGCGCCGTACGCAGGATCACCGGCTTTCAATGGCTCATCGCCTGGCTTCAACTCTTACCTTCAGTACAGCGGAGAGCAGAGGGCGGCAATGAACTCGTTTGTGGTGAGTGAATACTGTACAGTTTAATAATTAATTATGCACTTTGTAAAAACAAAAATGCCATTCTTTCCTTGAAAAGGCCTATTTGTATCCAGATTTTGGAACGAGTAGGCTGAAGTGTAGCCTTTTGATGCAATGAGTAGACTACAGAAGTTTAATAAAACATTCATAAAAGCTTCCTAATAAAAGCTTTTAAAAAATTTATAAAAATAAGTTATGCAATGATTAGTCACAATTATTTGCTAAACTTTGCAAAATAAAATATATAATTCTGAGTTAGAATCGTGTCCAATATTTTATCTGTCATAAGTTGTAAATACACTATACCTAAATGTAAAGGCCTATAATATACATACATGTTGATCTGTAAATCAATACAATTGGAAATTGAAGGTCTGGAAATGATGAATATCATATTTTAGGCTTGCCAGTCTTGTGCAGTCAAAATATTGAAATAAATTATAATAAATTGTCTATCTATTGACTTTCTAGGGCTCCGCGTATGATCCTTCAGCGGGCATTACTGGCTCTTTAGAATATCACCCGTTTGGTGGTGCATTGGGCCCATATCCATACGGCGACCCTGCATACAGGAAAAATGCTACACGGGATGCGACTTCCACTCTCAAAGCGTGGCTCAATGAACATCGCAAAAACCCTTATCCCACCAAAGGCGAGAAAATCATGCTGGCAATCATCACCAAGATGACCCTTACCCAAGTGTCCACCTGGTTCGCCAACGCCAGAAGGCGTTTGAAGAAAGAGAACAAAATGACGTGGAACCCGAGAAATAGAAGTGAGGATGAGGAAGAGGATGACAACATTGACCTGGAGAAGAATGACGACGACGATGAGCCACTCAAGCCCACAACAGAAATTGGGTCGAAAAATGAAGCAGGTTAGTTTAATTAACTTTTCAATAACGTTTACATGTTGCAATAGGCCTAACATTTATTTTATTTCAGACATTTAATTGGTTTCAAAAGTTGTAAAAACTAAAATATTGTCCTAGTTCTATGTAATTCACTGCATAGGCTTACAACATGTTGTTGCTTTCGTTAGAACTTGAAAGGGTGATTACGGTAATCCTTGGAACGCTTTGGTCTAATTTATTCTATCGTCTTGCAGATGGACATCATCCAAATCCAGTGGGAATCTCCTGTGAGAAATACAAAGAGGACAATAGTAGCAATGACATGGAACCTGTCTTAACTGATTCGGATTTAAAGGAAAACGGGGACAGGAGCGTGCCCGAGATGCTGGGGCCCACTATCACAGCATCCCCCCAAAACTTGCACCTTGGAGCGGAGAGGGATTCAGACTCGGCGGACACGCCAGGTCCACCTGCACCGAGGCGTAATGACACAGGCAACTCCAGCAATGCCACGTCAGTGATTGACTCGCCCCTTCCAGCCCCAAAACCAAAACTGTGGTCGCTCGCGGAGATTGCAACTTCTTCGGACAAATGTAAAGGATGTAGCGATGGTGCTCAGAACGTGCCCGGACAATTACGCACAGAGATTCCGGCCCGTCTGTCATCTCCACCGCGAGCCGCTCCTCATAATCTTTTCCCTCACAGCGCAGCTCTCTCAAGACATGTCTATTATACATCTCCCTTTTTCCAGGGTTACTCGAACTATCATGGCACTTTTGGACAGCTGCACAGCCCCGGATCCAACGTGGGGTCAGCGACACATTTAAATGGATTACATCAAACTATGTTACACAGAGCCGAGGCACTGGCAAGAGACAGCAAAGCCAGGAGCCAAACACAGATAGATATTTGTAAAGACTTGAGATATGAACTTAAGAAAGGTATGACACATGTTTAGTAGCCTGTGTGCTATTTGGTAAGCTATAGGCTCTATATAAACATTTATTTATTATCGAACTGGGAAAATAAAGGATATTTTCAGTGGGGAAATGGAAACATTGAAAATTAGTATTATTGTGAGTCCCTAAAAAGGCAACAAACGATTATTTAGGAATATGAATATTGAATTATTAAATTTTGTATTTTTTAAAGGATCATGTTTAATATCTGAAGAAAGTAAAGTGCATTCCTTTGTCAAAACGCGTGGTGAATAATTAATCATTAAAGAATAGTTTTATTGAAGTCTTTTTGAGAAGAAAAGCGTGTTACTCTGTCATTTATATTTAACTTTGGTCGTTCGTTATGCAAACAATATCTTATTTTTATCAGGTTCATTTCATATAGCATGGCTGCAATGTTTGACATCTGTGCCTTGTCAAATAACCACAGCCATGTTATTTATGCACACAACTCCACACAGAAAGTTGCCAATGCCGGCAAAAGTATTGGATTAAAAAACGAGGCATTATTGTATTAACTGCATTATCACAGTACCATTCCAATAAGCAATGTGTATGTATTTCAATAAGGATAAATCATTCTTAAAATTCCCCCTGCATGTAGCCAGGCTAGATTTTAGTAGCAATTACTTGAAGCAACTGTGGAAATGTAGACCTAATCCCCATATATCAGAAATGCTCTAGTCTGTTTTGATTTTTTATTTACTTTAAAGTTGAGCAGAGAGGAAATTAAATATGATCACACCACAAATATATTTATCGTAAACCAGGCCTATCTGGGTTTTGAAAATATTAACAGTTAAGAAGCTTACATTTTCCGAGGCCATCTTGAAGGAATTAAGTGTGTACGTTCGAATATGTTATCCTGAAAGAGGGGATTTCTCTTGATCCTGCAATTCCAAGAGCCAAACAGCAACAAAACATGCAGAGAAGGGTGAGAAAAGCGTATCACTGTGTACTAAACTCAGTGCACTAAGTGCACAATGACTTAAAAGGCTATGTAAATCCCTAAGGTATTTAAAGCAATTTCATGTTTTCTATGTTGCAGTGATTTTTCGTGGCTTTCTGCTTTCTCAAAAGCCTCTTGCTATTGAAGTCCTTTTTAAAACGGATAACTAACAGAGAAAGTGTGTATGAAACATCATTAAATTGTGTCAATGGACGTTTAAACGTTTCCCGATATGTTCTAGTCGGAGACACACCATCATCTTACGCAAACCTTTAAAAGGTTATAAAAACATTCGGACATTTTCATGTTTCTGTTGTCTTGGATTCAGTAAACACTCAGGTTACACAAAGGCCATAAGAAGGATAAATGGTATTTGTTTAAACTCAAATTGATAGTCTATGGATACATTTGTCATGATGGCAAAATATGACAATTTTGTTTTTTAATAGTACATGATATCTACCCATTTAGTTTTATAGAATTACTTCTAGGTCCTAGATACATACACAAATGGCAGCCCAGGGGCCAAATCCAGTCTACCACAAAGTCTCAAAAAGGAGTTGAAATACTATAAATAACAGGAAAACACAAAGGTTTATAAATCATCAAATTATCAAGCAGTAATTGTTGGATTATATTAGTATAATGTTATTAATATTGCTGACTTGGTCCATATCACGCATTCAAACTATTCGCCTGTGACCGCTTTTTTTTCTTCTTTTACACCCTTCTTTATCAAATCTAAAGAATATCTGTGTTGTAACTTTATCATACCAAAGATACAACTTCATCATTTATTATCTAGGAGCTGTCCTCTGTATGAATTGGCCAAAGTTGCATTCAGTAGATAAACTAAAACATTGACATTTGCAGTGAAGTAATTGTTTGATTGACTTTAGGGCCCATATGTCTCTCTTTCCCAACTGTGTTGTGCATCGAGGCTAAACACAACCAGACATCAATCAAATTTGTATTCGTCACATGCTTCGTAAACAACAGGTGTAGACGCTGCTGGGGCATTCTCAACCAGTGTGAGGTCCACTCTGCATGGGATAACCCCTAGGACTACCAGATGTTAGGATCTGATATCACCTAGCCCCCTGCCATGCCATGCAATCCCTTCACCCTCTTCTCTCCCTCTTCTCTCCCTCTTCTCTCTCCTCCCCTCCACTTCTCTTCTCCCTAGCTCCAGGACCTCTATAAAAGCAGCTGTTCTCACAGTGTTGGTCTTTCAGAGGCAGAACATTGTGTTGAACGGCCCAGTCTCTGGTCTTTGAGGGCTGAGGTAATGTTCTGTCTCAAAACAAGCAGTCTCTTCCCACGTTACACACATACAGTACCTTTCATATGAACATTTAAAAAAACAAGCCATGTGTAAGGCTTGCATTTCAATAGCACGTTTTAAAGTGCTTACATTTAATGACCTCATGAGTCATCCTCATATTTTACATTGATTAATCGAATCGGGTGTGTTACAGTAAGGTTGGAACAAAAGCCTGCACACCCAGTAGTCTTCTAGGAGGGTAGACACAGTAGACTGAGACAGACATGTAGTATAGATCAGGGTTTCCCAAACTCGGTCCTGGGCCCCATATGGTTTGGGAAACCCTGGTATAGATGACTGTAGCCATAACTTTGCTTGGAGTGCTCTCTAGTGCCAGTAAAAAGATGCAGCAGCCACGGAGACACCAACGCTAAAACCACTGACTACATTCCCCACTAAATGTGGTCTAGGTAAAGTAGCAGAAAACGAGCAGCATTTTGTAGCAGTGGTGGAAAAAGTACCCAATCGCCATACTTGAGTAAAAGTAAAGATACCTTAATAGAAAATGACAAGTAAAAGTCACCCAGTAAAATAATACTTCAGTAAAAGTCTAAAAGTATTTGGTTTTAAATATACTTAAGTATCAAAAGTAAATGTAAAAGTATAAATTATTTCAAATTGCTTATATTAAGCAAACCGTCTGGTTTGCTTAAAAACAATTTCCTTGTTTTTTTAATTGTATGGACAGCCAGGGTCACATTACAACATGCAGACATAATTTAAAGTGAAGCATTTATGTTTAGTGAGTCTGCCAGATCAGAGGCAGTAGGGATGACCAGGGATGTTCTCTTGATAAGTGTGTGAATTGGACCATTTTGCTGTCCTGCTAAGCATTCAAAATGTAACAAGTACTTTTGGGTATCAGGGAAAACGTATGGAGAAAAAGTACATCGTTTTATTTAGGAATGTAGTGAAGTGAAAGTAGTCAAAACTATAAATAGTAAATTAAAGTACAGATCCCCCCAAAAACTATTTAAGTAGTACTTTAAAGTATTTTTACACCACTGTTTTGTAGTATGCAATAATCGCTCACCCAAATGTAATTATTTTCACAATTGTTCTCCTAAACAATGTCCAACAATGTCCACCATCATTTGTTTGGGAATTACCTTAAAGCAGAGAGGAATAAGCGAGGCAATAAACAGCCCCAAGTTTGTGTTGATCAGCGGCATCTACAGTGGGGAAAAAAAGTATTTAGTCAGCCACCAATTGTGCAAGTTCTCCCACTTAAAAAGATGAGAGAGGCCTGTAATTTTCATCATAGGTACACGTCAACTATGACAGACAAATTGAGAAAAAAAATCCAGAAAATCACACTGTAGGATTTTTAATGAATTTATTTGCTAATTATGGTGGAAAATAAGTATTTGGTCACCTACAAACAAGCAAGATTTCTGGCTCTCACAGACCTGTAACTTCTTCTTTAAGAGGCTCCTCTGTCCTCCACTCGTTACCTGTATTAATGGCACCTGTTTGAACTTATCAGTATAAAAGACACCTGTCCACAACCTCAAACAGTCACACTCCAAACTCCACTATGGCCAAGACCAAAGAGCTGTCAAAGGACACCAGAAACAAAATTGTAGACCTGCACCAGGCTGGGAAGACTGAATCTGCAATAGGTAAGCAGCTTGGTTTGAAGAAATCAACTGTTGGAGCAATTATTAGGAAATGGAAGAAATACAAGACCACTGATAATCTCCCTCGATCTGGTGCTCCACGCAAGATCTCACCCCGTGGGGTCAAAATGATCACAAGAACGGTGAGCAAAAATCCCAGAACCACACGGGGGGACCTAGTGAATGACCTGCAGAGAGCTGGGACCAAAGTAACAAAGCCTACCATCAGTAACACACTATGCCGCCAGGGACTCAAATCCTGCAGTGCCAGACGTGTCCCCCTGCTTAAGCCAGTACATGTCCAGGCCCGTCTGAAGTTTGCTAGAGTGCATTTGGATGATCCAGAAGAGGATTGGGAGAATGTCATATGGTCAGATGAAACCAAAATAGAACTTTTTGGTCAAAAACTAAACTCGTCGTGTTTGGAGGACAAAGAATGCTGAGTTGCATCCAAAGAACACCATACCTACTGTGAAGCATGGGGGTGGAAACATCATGCTTTGGGGCTGTTTTTCTGCAAAGGGACCAGGACGACTGATCCGTGTAAAGGAAAGAATGAATGGGGCCATGTATCGTGAGATTTTGAGTGAAAACCTCCTTCCATCAGCAAGGGCATTGAAGATGGAACGTGGCTGGGTCTTTCAGCATGACAATGATCCCAAACACACTGCCCGGGCAACGAAGGAGTGGCTTCGTAAGAAGCATTTCAAGGTCCTGGAGTGGCCTAGCCAGTCTCCAGATCTCAACCACATAGAAAATCTTTGGAGGGAGTTGAAAGTCCATGTTGCCCAGCGACAGTCCCAAAACATCACTGCTCTAGAGGAGATCTGCATGGAGGAATGGGCCAAAATACCAGCAACAGTGTGTGAAAACCTTGTGAAGACTTACAGAAAACGTATGACCTGTGTCATTGCCAACAAAGGGTATATAACAAAGTATTGAGAAACCTTAGTTATTGACCAAATACTTACTTTCCACCATAATTTGCAAATAAATTCATAAAAAATCCTACAATGTGATTTTCTGGATTTTTGCCCCCTCATTTTGTCTATCACAGTTGACGTGTACCTATGATGAAAATTACAGGCCTCTCTCATCTTTTTAAGTGGGAGAACTTGCACAATTGGTGGCTGACTAAATACTTTTTTCCCCCCACTGTAGATGGCAGCCCTCCCTCCCACGTGGTTTGGTATAAAGCTAAAAGAATGGTCTGAGGAATTGTAACCACTCTCATAAACCGAGGTTACAAAGACTGACAGTCCAGGAGTATTCTCCCCCTCTGTGGAAGACACCTTGCACTCATAACTGTCCCCTGATGTGAGCCGGGAGGCTGGAGCTCGTAATGGCTCCTGCCCTGAAGTCGTGTACTTCCTGCCTCCCCTACGTCCCCTAAGCAGATAGCCATGGAGTACGCTTCACCTGTTTCAGTCAGAACCATGCAGAGAACGCCCAGGGTCTGCCTGGATGACACTAACACAATGTTGACAGTGACATACATGACCCATCAGGGCAATATGGACTCCCTGGTGCCACAGCAGAAAGCAACATTATTAGACAGAGGCTCAGCTGTTGTCTCTGCTTGCTACTCACTCTCCTGGTGCCACCTAGGGCCCTCGTCTCACTGTATCGCTATTGGATCACCTGTGGAGGAAGGCCACACTCATTGAAGGATAAACACCGCCATCTAGTGGTGGACACGATTAGAATGAGTAGAATTACAAACTTACCAAGCATATAGCCCCTAAACAGGCCAACTCCTGCTAAGAACAGAACTGAGTAAAAACAAAATAACTCTAGATCATGGGTTTATTTATTACAGGTTATTTTGACAAATTAAATAAGGCATGTTCACTGCCTCAACATTCAAAATAAAATACTTTAGTACAAAAATAATTAACATTGAAATTGGATAACTACTACTGCATATACCAAAACGGTCACCTTGAAATAAAAATACATCCGTAAGCTGATTGATGATAGTGGTTTTTATGTGTTCAATGTACTGTATGTGCTGGATAATTATCATTAAAAATAATGGCAGTTCAAAATGAGCTACAGACATTTCAGAGTGTTGATGACAGAAAATAAAATGGTAGGAGTAAAGTGCAAACTCCCCATAGCATCGGTTGGGTCCTATATGGCCTTGCTTGGCAGGATCAACTGCCATAGAGGTGAAACTGAATTTTCAGTTGAATGCTAAATAAACACTTTTTTTTTTTAATTATACTGTTTTCTACAGGATACATATGTACCCATTTCAATGGCATGTGTGACATCAGAATATAGTAAAGATGAGTCAAATTAACTATGGCAGTTGTGTTACTATATTCTCAAATGCAGTATCTTAACTACAGTACAATTTGTGGAGTCACTGAACTGAGCTACTCACTGTATATAGATTTGTGTATACATTGTTATGGTTCTCTCTCTACCTACAGAGCAACCAAGAAAACGATTCTAAGTGTTTGACATTCACTGGGATACAAGTGTGGCCTTACTGTGCATAGTAATTCAGATGTCACACCAGGGAGGTAATGTGTTATAGATGAATAGAAAAATGACAATTGATGGTTTTCTAAAGGGAATAACTGTAACTCAGTCAATTAAAAATGATATCCAAACCTGAGAACTGTAATAAAATTAAACTAAATTGTTACAAATAAAAACAGAGCCCTGATTCTACATGTTCAAATAAAAACCGTCAGATGTAATAGGAGCATACATTTTCAGATTATCATCTTTTCAAGTAAACCAACTTTCTCCATACTGATATGCTATAATGTCACTCAATCCACTGTTAGAATGTTCCACCTACTCTCTTTCATAAGAGTGAGCAACCAAATAAAAATGTACTAAAACAGAATGAAATTCGCATTAAGTTGAATTAAAATGTTTTGTATCCCTTTTTCCTGAAGGCAAGGTGAAAAAGTGCTTTCAATAACAGTCAGTACAGAAGTTCTTTCTGTAACTAGAATAGTTCAAGTTCTCCCCTGACTGGGGTCCGCCTCAGCCTCTGCTCCTCAGAGGAGCTCCATTTCTTCTACCAGGTCTTCTACCAGCTCCTCCATGTCTGTGGGTGGGCTCTCAGCCTCTGGACAGATTCTTTGCGACTGTACGTCTGTATCTGGTGAGGTGTGGACATCTTTTTCATGTCCTTCTCCGTCTTTGTCTTCGTCCCCATTGACTTGGCTAGGTGTGTGTGACGGGTCGCTGCTGGTTGTTTGTTGTGTATTTGAGGGGCCGTCGGCTATGTGTGTATTTGACACGTCAGGAGTGTGTATGTCAGGTGTGTATGTATGCTCAGGCTCACCAGGAGTGTCTGTGTGTGAAGGGTCTTCCGCTACATGTGTGTCCACCTTTACCTCAGCCTCTCCTGTGTGTCTCCGGAATGGGGGGTGCTCTGTGTCCACGGTGTGACAGTGGCTCAGGACCCTCTCCCTGTCCCTGTGGTCCTCAGGCTGGGGGCTTCCCTCTGGGCTGGAGCGGATGCTAAAAGGCCCACTGCTCTCCAAGGTCACCCCCCGCCTCAGTTTCCTCCTCTCGGGAGTGGGTGAGTTGATGGAAGGCACACTGGTGTCCCTGGGAAGACCTTTCTTCATCCGCTGAACTCTGCAAACAACATCGGTTTTAATAAACTTACATTTTAAAAAGGAACTACTATGTTTCAGTGCAGGTCCTTAAAATGTCTAAACTAATACGTTTAGCAAACTCAAGTTCAAATATTCTGACATCAATGTTAAATTCACTAGGAAGGACTGCATACAAATTTCCATCCCATTCCACTAGGAGACACAAGTCATCCTTTCCATGGGACCAACCTGTTGATTGACTGGGCAAGCTTCTGATGTCTTCCATTGGCATTATCCTGATGGGGCTTTAACCTCTGGACAAATGAATGGGCTGTGATTGGGAGAAAGGAGTTAGAAAGTGTGGAGGAAAAAAAACGTCCCAATTTTTCACACTAGCATACCACGGGCATGCATTCTGTGGTATGGGGGTAGAGACATTGGAAGGCAGCCATAGTTTGAATGAATTGAAAACAAAAAGATGGTGAGGAAGACTTGTCACTTGTGGTATATCTTCACGCTCTAGCAGGTAGGTGTTCAAGGAAAAACAGTGGCTGGTGTCAATACAGAGCTGTAGTGGAGCAGGTTGAGAGCTTCAAGTTCCTTGGTGTCCACATCACCAACAAACTATCATGGTCCAAACACACCAAGACAGTCGTGAAGCCTATTCCCCCTCAGGAGGCTGAAAAGATTTGGCATGGGTCCTCAGATCCTCAAAAGGTTCTACAGCTGCACCATCGAGAGCATCCTGACTGGTTGCATCACCGCCTGGTATGGCAACTGCTCAGCCTACGTCTGCAAGGCACTACAGAAGGTAGTGAGTACGGACCAGTACATCACTGGGGCCAAGCTTCCTGCCATCCAGGACCTCTATACCAGGCGGTGTCAGAGGAAGGCCCTAAAAATTGTCAAAGACTCCAGCCACCCTAGTCATAGACTGTTCTCTCTGCTACCGCACGGCAAGCGGTACCGGAGCGCCAAGTCTAGGTCCAAAAGGCTTCTTAACAGCTTCTACCCCCAAGCCATAAGACTCCTGAACAGCTAATCAAATGCTGCTACTCTCTGTTTATTATCTATGCATAGTCACTTTAATAACTCTACCTACATGTACATATTACCTCAATTGCCTCGACTAACCTGTGCCCCTGCACATTGACTCTGTACCGGTACCCCCTGTATATAGCCTCGCTACTGTTACTTTACTGCTGCTCTTTAAGTAAAAAATGTTTACTTAACCCTTTTTTTACATTTTTTTTTTACTGTATTGTTGGTTAAGGGCTTGTAAGTAAGCATTTCACTGTAAGGTCTACACCTGTTGTATTCGGCGCATTTGTCAAATAAAATTTGATTTGATACTTGCTCGCTTACCCAGAGCCCCCTTGGGCACAGAGAGCAGTTTGATTGGTTCAGCATCAGGGGAGAGTCCAGACGCCTTCTGAAGAGTCCTCAGGATCTCAGTGTTCTGTAAATACATTTAATCAATTATTCAGTATTTCCCAACTCTATTCCTGAGCTCTGTGTGTGTGTCTGTAGTATGTGTGTCTGTATGTCTGTCTGTAGTGTGTCTGTAGTGTATTCGGGGTCATTGGGTTAGATTTGTTACTGAACATACAGTGTGTATTTAGACCAATGCTGTGGCTGTTCTATTCTCACCTTGCCCCCAGTCTCCGTGCCACAGTCCAGTGCTGTCCTCTGTCTCTTGTTCCTCATGTGGACCAGGGCTCCAGCCTGCAGTAGCAGCTCCACCAGGGCCAGGTGACCTCCTCTCACAGCCTCATGCAGGGCCGTGTTACCCTGGTTGTTGGACAGGTTCACTGACGCGTTGCTCTGGAGGCCCATTGAACACACATTAGTAAGAGTAACAGTTGGCCTGTGTGACCACCAGGGGGCAGCATTGTCAAGGTGTTCTACCTGCAGCAGAATTGTGTGTGTGTGTGTGTGTGTGTGTGTTCACCTGCAGCAGAATGGTGTGTGTGTGTGTGTGTGTGTGTTCACCTGCAGCAGAATGGTGTGTGTGTGTGTGTGTGTGTGTGTTCACCTGCAGCAGAATGGTGTGTGTGTGTGTGTGTGTGTGTTCACCTGCAGCAGAATGGTGTGTGTGTGTTCACCTGCAGAAGAATGGTGTGTGTGTGTGTTCACCTGCAGCAGAATGGTGTGTGTGTGCGTGTTCACCTGCAGCAGGACGGTGTGTGTGTGTGTGTTTCACTGCAGCAGAAGGGTGTGTGTGTTGTGTGTGTGTTGTGGTGTGTGTGTTGGTGTGGTGTGTGGGTGTGTTCACCTGCAGCAGAATGGTGTGTGTGTGTGTGTGTGTGGTGTGGTTCACCTGCAGCAGAATGGTGTGTGTGTGTTCACCGCACAGAGTGTGTGTTGGTGTGGTGTGTGTTCACCTGCAGCAGAAGGTGTGTGTGTGTGTATGTGTTCACCTGCAGCAGGATGGTGTGTGTGTGTGTGTGTGTGTGTGTGTTCACCTGCAGCAGAACGGTGTGTGTGTGTATGTGTTCACCTGCAGCAGGATGGTGTGTGGTGTGTGTGTGTGTGTGTGTTCACCTGCAGCAGAATGGTGTGTGTGGTGTGTGTATGTGTTCACCTGCAGCAGGATGGTGTGTGTGTGTGGTTGTGTTGTGTTCACCTGCAGCAGGATGGTGTGTGTGTGTGTGTGTGTGTGTGTGTGTTCACCTGCAGCAGGATGGTGTGTGTGTGTGTGTGTGTACCTGCGAGATGTGTGTGTGGTGTTCACCTGCAGCAGGATGGTGGTGTGTGTGTTTTGTTCCTGCGCAATGTGTGTTGTGTGTTCACCTGCAGCAGGGATGGTGTGGTGTGGTGTGTGTGTGTTGTGTGTTCACCTGCAGCAGGATGGTGGTGTGTGTGTGTGTGTGTGTTCACCTGCGCGAATGGTGTGTGTGTGTGTGTGTGTTCACCTGCAGCAGGATGTGTGTGTGTTTGTGGTGTGTTGTGTGTGTTCACCTGCAGCAGAATGGTGTGTGTGTGTGTGTGTGTGTGTTCACCTGCAGCAGAATGGTGGTTTGTGTGTTTCACCTGCACAGATGTGTGTGTGTGTTGGTGTGTACTGTGTGGTTGATGTTCACCTGCAGCAGAATGGTGTGTGTGTGTGTGTGTGTGTGTGTGTTCACCTGCAGCAGGATGGTGTGTGTGTGTGTGTGTTCACCTGCAGCAGGATGGTGTTTGTTGTGTGTTCACCTGCAGCAGAATGGTGTTGTGTGTGTGTTTGTTACCTGCAGCAGAATGGTGTGTGTGTATGAAGGTGTGTGTTGTGTATGTGTTCACCTGCCAGCAGAGTGGTGTGTGCACTGCAGATGGTGTGTTGTGTGTGTGTCGTTGTGTGTGTTCACCTGCAGCAGAACGGTTTTGTGTGTGTGTGCTGGTGTGTGTTGTGTTCACCTGCAGCAGAATGGTGTGTGTGTGTGTGTTCACCTGCAGCAGGATGGGTTTGTGTGTGTTGGTGTGTGTGTGTGTGTTCACCTGCAGCAGATGGTGGGTGTGTGTCATGCAGATGGGTGTGTGTGTGCTGTTCACCTGCAGCAGAATGGTGTGTGTGTGTGTGTGTGGAGGTGGTGTTGTGTCACTGCGTGGTTGTGTGTGTGTGTTCACCTGCAGCAGGATGGTGTGTGGTGTGATGTGTGTGGTTCACCTGCAGCAGAATGTGGTGTGTGTGTGTTGTGTGTGTGTGTGTTCACCTGCAGCAGAATGGTGTGGTGTGTGTGTGTGTGTGTTCACCTGCAGCAGAAGGTGGTGTGTTGTGTGTGTGTGTTCACCTGCAGCAGAATGGTGTGTGTGTTCACCTGCAGCAGAATGGTGTTGTGTGTTCACCTGCAGCAGGATGGTGTTTTGTGATGTGTGTGTGTGTTCACCTGCAGCAGATGGTGTTTGTGTGCGTGTTCACCTGCAGCAGAATGTGTTGTGTGTGTGTGTGTGTGGTGTGTGTGTGTCACCTGCAGCAGAATGGTGTGTGTGTGTGTTCACCTGCAGCAGAATGGTGGTGTGTGTGTGTGTGTTCACCTGCAGCAGAATGGTGTGTGTGTGTGTGTGTTCACTGCAGCAGAATGGTGTGTGTGTGTCACCTGCAGCAGAATGGTGTGTGTTGTGGTGTGTTCACCTGCAGCAGGGTGTGTATGTGGTGTTCACCTGCAGCAGAATGGTGTGTGTGTGTGTGGTGTGTGTGTTCACCTGCAGCAGAATGGTGTGTGTGTGTGTGTGTGTGTGTGTTCACCTGCAGCAGAATGGTGGTGTGTGTATGTGTGTGTTCACCTGCAGCAGAATGGTGTGTGTGTGTATGTGTGTGTTCACCTGCAGCAGAATGGTGGCTGTGTCCTGGTGACCTTTGAGGCAGGCGTGGATCAGAGGGGTGTTGCCATAGTGATCCTTCTTATTCAGCTTGGCGTTGCACTCCAGCAGTGATGTCACTACCTGAACATGATTAATGAGATGGGTGGGGTTTTAACCTTTGAGACTATTCCATTTGTTCAGATGTGCCAGGCAAGCTCAAATAAACACAGCTGAAGTACAGTGTTGTGTGCTCACCTGTATGTGGTTGTTCTGGCTGGCCAGGTGCAGTGGCGTGGCGCTCTGGCTGTTGCGTGCGTCGACGTTGGCCCCGTGGCGGCTGAACAGGGACACCAGGGCCGTGTGACCATGGAGCGCTGCGACATGGAGGGGAGTGAAGCCATCCACACTACTGCTGTTCACACCTAGACCACTGGCCTGCAGGCACACCAACTTCTGGAGGCAAACACACACACACACACACACACACACACACACACACACACAGAGGAAAACACAGAAAGGCATCAAGTTATCTGGGCAGCACTGCAGGAACATCATAAATCATCTCCTTTCAACAGCTAACTTTCCATTCAACATAGCTTCAGTGCTTCCAGCTTTTGGCCATGTGTCAAGTTTGCTGTTTGCTCACTGACATCGTCTATATATCAGAAAGGGGTTTGGCCAAGTAGTTGTGGTATGGAACCCCGCAGTAGGAATGAAAGGCCAGGGTTGCTCTCAAACCTTCTGTGTTGGTCCACAGTGTGGACACTGGCACAGTGGGTGGCACAGTTCTGTCCAGGATGGCAGCCCTGCATGCTCCTCCTCTGGTTCCTCGTCCAACCACTCCAACAGGTACCGCACCATCTCTATGTCTCCGTCCGCCACCGCACGCAGCAACTTCTCCACCTGTCAGTCGAGAGAGAAAAAGAGAGTGAGGCTACCTATTAGAACACCAGCCAGGTCTTTACAAACTGGATTACAAATTACAGATAGTCATCCCACAAAAAAACATTGGGTGAAAGCTTCAAATATTAGGATCCCTCAATATATAGAAAAATACTGCATCTAATTTCTATTGCATCCCTATTCCATTTCCCCTTTAATTAAGACAATACTACTCCTCTCAGGCATTGCCAGGGTCAGCCCTGCCCAGGTCAGGGGTCCTCAGTGCTCCCTGCTAACCTCTTTGTGTCGGACCCTGTCGCAGTCGGTCCTGGCCTCGGAGCTCTGGGAGGTGGTGCTGGAGACAGAGGAGCAGCGGCTGCTGCAGTCAGAGGCCTGGGCGGAGCGGTTTGGGGACTGGGACAGACAGCAGGGGGCGAGAGAGAGCACCGTCACTCAGCTGACCACGCACACACAGTACAGCACGTTTCAAACTCATTCCACTGAGGGCCGAGTGTCTGCGGTTTTTCGCTCTTCCATTGTCCTTGATTGATGAATTAAGGTCACTGATTAGTAAGGAACTCCCTTCACCTGGTTGTCTAGGGCTTAACCAAAAACCGTGGAATGAGTTTGACACCCCTGCAGTACAGGCTGCTTCTAGCAGAGCAAGTGAAGAGTAGAGTAGAACTACTGTATGTTGGTTAGTGGTGTTTTAACAGGCTGGCTGCCTGGCGTAGAGACATCATTTTATCAAATGAAATACTGTAGTTGCAACTCTTCTCTGTCACTTCCTATGTGATGAAATCTGACTTACATCATTGTTCTCTCTTCTATGAGAGCCGTTGTGCGGTAACTCCAATAGCGTCAGAATCTGCAAGACGCAGAGACACAAGTACACACACACACACATCAGTTACACACGTTCTTATGCATGTGCACATACTTGTTCATTTGCACATATGAAAACACACACACACACACACACACACCTTGCAACACAAGCACTATTCATTTACAAATTCTGGCATGTACACGGTTGTTCCAATAATACCTCATTGATACCCATTCTGGTATGTAGCCTACATACACACTGCGTTAAGCTATACGGGACAACAGATTTTATAAGAGGATGAAGTCACTAACAACTGGGCTACTACTTTCACATACTTTCAGGTTCACACATCAGCTTAAGAGATTAAAAAGAAAGCAGGCATTAAATAATTACTTGAGCATAAAAGTAGGCTCTATTTCTAATACAACCTTATCACATTTCATAAATTGTTCAAAATCATAATAATACTGAATGACAAGGCAAATATATCAAGCCAATCCTGTTGCTAGGCGAACCAGAAGTATTTTCTTCCTCAGAACAATTCCCACCCTTCTGTTAATACTTTCTCCAAATATATCTACTTAACTAAAATAAGTTTAGTATGCCAAGCCTTTTCTATAACACTAGGAAAGCTTGGCCTCGAGGGACCCCCCCTTCAAGCCAATGACAAGTCTTTTGGACGTCAACATTCTAACAGTCTAAAAAAGACATGTAATATATGCTATCGCAAAAATCATTTGGTTGTGTGTATGAAGGTGACATTGAACTACATCATCTTCCGTATTCTAAAAGACCACAATAGCATTTATTAGTTTATGCAACTGTATGCTTATGTACAAATGAAAAACCAGTAAAACACCACAAGTCAAGTGTTAAAATCCATTAACTAAACACTATCACAAAGACCATTCGTTATTAATTTGTTAAAGGTCTTAAGGAACCTTACGAATTTAAGAAAATTAATGACAAAAGAACCAAATGGCATATTTTACGAGTGCACGCATGTAATCGCGGTTATTACGGTTAAAGTCATATTTTGAAATAGAGGGTCGTTTTTAAGAGTTGTTTGGCAATGATCGGTGATTTGGAAACTGCAGAATCTGCACTTTCTGATACTACATAGACATCAAAACATCTTACCTGCTTGTGACTGTAGGATAATTTGAAAAGTCACTTTTTGGCACACCGTTTCGTTTCCCTGACTGTCAATTCCAAGCTGCACTGTTCATCAGATTCTTCATATACAATTTAACAACTGATAATATTCTCACCCTTCAGACCATTGTCAATTTAATCTGGTCTTTAGGCTAAACTCTATTATAAGTGTGAAATTAGTTTAGATACACAAATAGGTATGTGGACACCCCTTCAATTTAGTGGATTCGGCTATTTCAGCCACACCCATTGCGGACAGGTGTATAAAATCGAGCACACAGCCATGCAATCTCCATAGACAAACATTGGCAGTAGAAGTGGTAAGCCACACAAGCTCACAGCACGGTACCACCGAGTGCTGAAGCGCGTAAAACTCGCCTGTCCTCGGTTGCAACGCTCACAAATCTTTTTGCAACACTCATTGTTGTTCATGGTTCGGGCTAGGCCCCTTAGTTCCAGTAAAGGGAAGTCAATGCTACAGCATACAATGACATTCTAGACGATTCTGTGCTTCCAACTTTGTGACAACAGTTTGGGGAAGGCCCTTTCCTGTTTCAGCATGACAATGCCCCCGTGCACAAAGCGAGGTCCATACAAAAATGGTTTGTCGAGATCGGTGTGAAACAACTTGACTGGCCAGCACAAAGCCCTGACCTCAACCCTATCGAACACCTTTGGGATGAATTGGAACGCGGACTGCGAGCCAGGCCTAATCGCCCAACATCAGTGCCCGACCTCACGAATGCTCGTGGCAGAATGGAAGCAAGTCCCCGCAGCAATGTTCCAACATCTAGTGGAAAGCCTTCCCAGAACAGTGGAGGCGGTTATAGCAGCAAAGGGGGGACCAACTCCATATTAATGCCCATGATTTAGGAATGAGATGTTCGACGAGCAGGTGTCCACATACTTTTGGTCATGTAGTGTAGTTTAGGTGTAGTTTAACTGGGCCATTATCAGCTGCGGTGGATGACTGCCAGTGAATGACATGGTGGTGAATGATGGGCAGCGGGGAAAAAAATAACGTCCTCTTAAACCTGCTTAGAATACAAATTCTATTTGTGATATTAAGATTCTAACAACAACAGTGTGTTATATAGACTTATTCAGGAAAAGTCAAGGACGGGGGGGGGTTAGTCCTGACTTTAAAAATGGCAGAGTCATATAAAAAGTACATTATTTTTTTGTCAATATGATGCTCTACACTCCTAGTGTTAAAGTACCCATTTGAGAAGTGTGTTTCAGGCAGAGGCAGGGACAGCTGTGACCAGGGGTCTTCACTCCTCACCTTAGAGTTGAGGGCACATTGCAGTGGTGAGTCTTTGACCTTGTTGTAGATGGTGGTGCTGGCTCCGTTCTCCAGCAGCACCTCAATGATGCCCTCGTAGCCCCACCGGGCCGCGATGTGCATGGGGGTGTCGCCCTTGTCATTCTGGATGTTCAGACGGCACGTGTGCAGGTCATAGTACACCAGGGCTTTAACACACTGAGACACGGACGGGATAACACTGTCAGACGCAGAACAATCTCCTCTGAACAACCATAGAGACACTGTCAGTGCAGGCTGTCATCATCTGTCATCCTCCATATACTTATTTACAGCAGTATCAATATAGATACTGTAACTGCTATCCCATGTACTGTGAGTGGATACATTTCTTCAGATAGATAACTCTGGTTACCAAACAAAGTGGCAGAGTCAAGGCTGTTGGAATTAACTGTGCCTATAAATACAGATTTTAAATTGAGATTGAATCCCCAGACTGACGTACATCCTCGTGTCCGTACATACAGGCCAGGTGCAGAGGAGTGTTGCCATTGTTGTCCTGGGCACCGGAGTAAGCCTTATAGTGCAAGAGCAGCAGCTAGAGTACAGACAGAGACAGACAGACAGACAGAATGGGAGAAATATATACATATGTCAGAGAGAATATACAGTTTGTGTAACAGAAGTATCATTTTTGTATCTTTAGTGTAGCTCTCCTAGCCTGGTTCCAGATCTGTTTAGGAGTAGGCAAGGCAGCACAAACCGATCTGGGACCAGGCTATAGCTGTCCTGCTAGTGTCCTGGCTCACCGTGACTCCCTGGTAGCCCTTCTGGCAGGAGAGGTGTAGGGGTGAGAGGGCATGGTAGTCTGTGGCATTCACCAGAGCTCCCTTAGACACCAGCAGGTCGATCAACAGGGACTGACCTGCCACGGCAATGACAGGCATTTTATTTTATTTAGACAGTGGGGAATGAGGGAGACAGATGGGAAAGGGATGAACAGTAAGAATGTGGCGGACTAGGGATCCCCTGTTGTGTGATCTGGAGGCAGCTTCCTGGACAACTTTAGGTACCTCTGGAACGTGTTGTTATCTCTTACCACAGATAGCAGCGACGTGAAGTGGTGTATATCCCCTGTCGTCTCGAGAGAAGGGCGTTATGATGGAGGGATCATTCAGTCTCCTGTAAGCAGACAGAGTTGAAGAATAATCACATTTTCTGTTCCTATATGATTTTAAGCCATTCACTAGAGGTAGTGAAAGAAACATCAGAAAAGAACTTCTCCTACTGAGAAACTCAGGTTTTTCTATTATATTCCATCCTATGATAGATGAGTTGTGTGCGCGCGCAGTACTCACCCAGAGAGACGGAGCTCACAGTGGTCACAGGAGCAGAGGGGGTGGCACATATTAACCCCGTCCTCGTCACTCTGGTTCTCACTCAACACACGCTGGACCTCTACCTCGTTACCATTGGCTATGTGCTGCAGGATCCACCCATCCACACACACAAAGTAAACAGAAATAAAAGGATCAACACACACAATTGATTTTTTTTTTTTAAGTGAAAGAAAAAGTTGATCAAACATTGTTTTCATATTCAAATGTAATGCTGAATGAAATTAGGTGTCCATCTGACCAATGAAGCATAACGTTATACAGACTGCAGAGTATAGCTTTTTCCCTTCTAAAAGGTCAGGGGACAGGGTTCTCACCTCAAACAGATAGTCTATGGGGGTAGCAGAGTTCTGGGAGAGCAGGTTTATCTTCTGGGTGAAATGCACCTTGTCGTTCAGGTCCCCTGAGCCCTGCAAACCACACACACAGACATGGTCACTCACTCTGCACAGGGGAGTGTTTTTCGGTCATTATAGTGGCCTGTTATCACAGGTATTGCAGTGATAAGGTGGTGTATCTAAGTCAACAATGTGCTTGGATAGGATATCAGCTCCAACAATGTATGTGCTTGGGGTGTATAAAGCCCTTTTCACAATATTGAGCCAAGCAGGCCAGGACTAATGTACAGTGTAAGGTAAGAAAGGAGCCGTCCTAATGTACAGTGTAAGGTAAGAAAGGAGCCGCCCTGTGTACTCCTGTCCTGCATTGTTCTGTGCTCACCATGCGTCCCTGGCCCAGGCCCAGGTTTCCCTGGCTGATGAACTCCACGGCGGCCTCGAACGACGTCAGGCAGTAGCTCAGCTCGTCCTTGGTGGAATTACAGAAATGGAAGTTCTTGATGTAGCTCAGGTTGGCCATCCTGGAAGAGCATGCTCGTTAGTTTAACATGGCTGTTAATTACCAGTTAATTGATTAATTAATGACTTTGTTTTATTACTAGGTCCAAGTTATTCACTTATTAATTCAATAAGTTTAGTTGAAGTAGTCATCAGGCCATTTAAATAGTCAGCGGTATTACTAGGTTAGAACTCCATACTCACCAATTGGGGATTTCCGTCTTCACCAGTAAGTACAGAATTACAGACAGAAGGTCATCTGCACACACAGCCTCTATGCTCACTGCATGTGGAGAAAAGGGAAATGAAAGAATATATTAAATTACTGTGGTTGCTTCTGTAAGTTTCAGTGACTGTGAGATGTTTACAACTAGAGCATACAGCAGGGAGAAATGGCTATTCAAAATGAATACATAAAACAGCTTCATCCTACAAACAGGCGAGTGTCCACACAGTCAGTGTAACCTCTGAGACACTGCCTCTGTCCTCGTTATTTATGCTTTAAATTGGTAAATTGGCTGTTTGACCAACATAAATTAGGAGCGGATCGCAGCACTCCACAGAGACAGGGCCGGGTTGTTATGTGGCCAAGGAGGTTGGATTTCCAAAACAAACTGGACATAGACATTAGGCCCCTACAGTTAGGATTTTGTTCTGTGGACCGTGTGTATGCACTGAGTTATTATATTACCAGGGAGGGCGTGAGCAGAAAAGACAACAAATCCTGATCTGGGTTACAATGACAAGCCTTAAAAGCCATGTAGGCTGTATTATAGTAATGTCATGTCTTCATAAAACATAGGTGAATAAGCTTTTTAACTTTATGCATTTCATGTATTTCTGGATGAAAGCTAAACTTATATTTGTCTCAGAGGCCGAAGCATGACGATACAGATTTGCATGGTACCATAACAAATGGGCCGGATTCCATTTTAAAAGGCACATTTGCATTCCAGTGTCAATGGGTTGATTGTGACAACAACACTGTGTAAACTTCTACTGATGTGACATGAAATGACATAGGGATGGATGGAGACATACAGACAGAAATACAGACAGACACACACCCGAGTGGCTGGGGGACTGCATGATGGTGAGAGACACCTTCCTGAGGCAGAGCAGTTTGTGTAGAGGAGAGGTGCAGCGGTTCAATTGGCTCAGCTCTCTCTTGGCCCGGGGGATATTTATACTGTTGGAGGAGACATAACACAGAAGTACAACAGGATAAGTTAATATTGATACTGTAAGCAAGTGGAAACACAAACATAGTCCAATAGTCTATAGACACAATAGGACAGGTTATAGTGGTCAAATGACCTGATGGGGATCTACTGCTATAAACCTGCTTGACATTATGGAGATCTATATGGTGTCTGGTCATTTTCATTTGTGTTGTATGCAGACTTGTTTATTGGCCAGCAGAGAAATATAATGTGATGTGCATCACATGTTGTTATTGAGTTGTAATCATAAAAGCAGAAATTAAAAAGAGACCACGTGAAAAAACCCAACCTAAATTCAGATTTGACCCCCAAGTCTTTCTGCTGCAGGTCCTGCAGACCTCTGGTGGTTTTGTTGAAGGCAGAATCCTGTTGGAACAGTGATAATAAACATAGATATTAACCTTTACTGCATGGGGATTCTGGGGCTATAAAAGACTGACAGCATTATCAAATACTGTATAGTATGTATTTACATACCTGGCTGGCTTCAAGAGTCCCCACAAAATTAAAGATTAAATCATGGATACCATGATGTATATACATCTAAATGAGAAAAGAGAGAAAACATCTAAAAATACATGACGTCATTATAGCATCACAGCACTTCACTGAGGACCAGAATGAAGAAAAGCTCAAAAAAGCACCCAAAGAAGTAGAGGACGTCATATTTTAAAGTAAGTGTGAGTGATGACGACTAGGATAGAACTCCTACCTCAACCGCCTGTTTGAGGAGCGTCATCTGGAGCTCCTGTTTGGCCAGCACTTTCTGAAAGACAGGAGGTTTAACAAATCAGCTTTATTTCTCAGGGTTGTGTCCAATAGGCATGAAACAGGAGAAAATATTTTGAAAATGTTTTTCGTAGCAAAACATGCTACTCACCAGGTGTGAGTCTCTCAACAGGCACTGAAGACATTTAGTATAAAGGGCATTCACTGAGTCCTAAGGGGAGAGCACAGTTACAGGTTAAAGCAGTGCGTCACAGCAGAAGTCAAATTATATATGTCACATCTTACTATATATCTATAGTATACAATACATGAGTGTGTACATTACTATAGTATAGCCATCTCTCATATTATACATTAGTATGTGTCATGTTACTGTACACTGAGTATACAAAACATTAGGAACACCTTCCTAATATTGAAGTGTACCCCCTTTTGCCCTCAGAATAGCCTCAATTCGTCAGGGCATGGACTCTACAAGTTGTCAAAAGCGTTCCACAGGAATGCTGTCCCATGTTGACTCCACTGCTTCCCACAGTTGTGTCAAGTTGGCTGGATGTCCTTTGGGTGGTTGACCATTCTTGATACAAACGGGAAACTGTTGAGCGTGAAAAACGTAGCAGCGTTGCAGTTCTTGACACACTCAAACTGGTGCGCCTGGCACTTACTACCATACCAAAACCCTATTCAAAAGGCACTTAAATATTTTGTCTTGCCCATTCACCCTCAATGGCACACATACACAATCCATGTCTCAAGGCTTAAAAATCCTTCTTCCCCTACACAGATTGCAGTGGATTTGACAAGTGACATCAATAAGGATCATAGCTTTCATCTGGTCAGTCTATGTCATGGAAAACGCAGGTGTTCTTAATGTTTTGTACACCCAGTGTATGTGTCATGGCTTCAGTCTAGCGTCAGATAGGTGTGTTGTTTAGGGTCAGTACTTACGATGTGGTGTCGCAGTCCCTTCTTTTCCTGCTCCTTAAATGAGTTGCAGAAGCTGCTGATGAACTTGTCCAGTTTCTCAACATGGCGGCCCAGGAACTCCCTGACATCCTCCACATTCTTCAGACAGTACAGGGCCGGGATTGGGGTCACCTCCACTGAGAGAGAGAGGGAGAGAGAGAAAAGAGGGAAAGAAGAAAGGTGAGAGTGAGATGGTGGCTGTAGGCGTTTGGATCAGGTTCAACATGGACTAAATCATACACTCACTTAATCAACTTTTGTCGCTTTGGAGGAGAGCAGTACCTACCTGGGCTTTGATCGGTGTCGATGGGCCTGGCGATACAGAGGATACTGTAGCTCTGCTCCTTCTCATTGTAGAAGGTCTCCTCAAACAGGATGGGCACATTGGCTGGGGCCTGGAACCCTAAGCCCAGTCTCACCAGGCTGTCCTGGATGGCCAGCTCCTATCAGACAGGACAAAGCATATGGGTAGCATCGTTGACCAAGATGTCTTAACCAAGAACGTTCTATTTTATAGCAGCTGTTTACAATGAACTAAATGGGTATATAGCAGTGGAGGCTGCTGAAGGGAGGATGGCACAGAGCTAATGGAATGTAATCAAACACACGGAACCCATGTGTATTTGACACCATTCCACTCCAGCCATTACCACAAGCCCGTCCTCCCCAATTAAGGTGCCACCAACCTCCTGTGGTATAGAGAAAATGAAACTGCATGATATTTTGTGTAGTTGGCAGATGGATCTTACCTTTCCATCTACAGTCTGATACCCTTCTCCAGATGGGTGTAAAACATAGGTTTCAAACTGGGCTTCTGTGTATGCACTAAGGGTTAGGCTTCCACGGCACGGCACCAAAACCTGGGGCACAACCACACCATCATCAACAACAAGGGTAAAGAACCATGCTTCTCGTGACTGACTGAGAATAGATTTATCAAAAGGTTTTATTGGTAAAGTTCCCACAATAAAAAGCACCTGATCCGACTGTAAAAAATGCTACTTCACCTTTAGCCAGTAGCATTTATTTATCTGATATGGCCTACCACCCACACGCGATGCAACACCCATGACAGTAGTGTCTGCATGCTCTTTCTAGTTCACTGTAGGAGAAGGATACTAGACAGAGCTCTCCTTTGAAAACTTCCCAGAACAGTAACAGTGGTGAGTCATAGTAACGCCCAGATATTATTCTCTTGATATTCCTTTGCTAACCACCAAGTGGGCAGAGGACCTTCTAAGTGGCCATTTTCTACTAATGGCAAGACAAAACCATTTCCCACAGCAATAACATGGCCTCCCTCATCTATGGAAAATGGACTATTTCCCTTTTCCTCTGTGTTCTGCTTATCTGTGCATAAATGGATGCCCTCGTGCCCGACATCTCCACCAAGCAGCTGACTTGCCATAAAGAGAAGCTTCAGCCAGTGTGGTATTGAATAGTCCTACATTTTCAGGACAGTCGAGCTAGCCTAGGCCCATATGTTCAACCCTTACATTGTTTGATTCTGGTCCAAATCTACACACAGCTCACAAAGAAGAAATGTCACTGTCTGAAAATGCAGGATTTAAGAGAGGGGAGTTGTGCATTATAGCTGCAATCTGTACTGTACTTGATCATGCATGCCTGAACACGCTACTTTGTTCTGCTGAGCTTGGTCCCATACACAATATAAAAGGGCTGAGCACTATAGTATGGCCCCACAGCCACAGCTGTCAGTCTCTCACAATTCCATGTAGCTCTGCCACTCTGCTGCACAGGTCGGGTCTCTGCTTCTCCAGCGCCAGGTAAAAAGGGTTCTTCAGGAGGTTCTCATCATACACAGCCATAAGGAACTGGATCTCTGGCTCCTGGGGGGAGGAAAAGAGAAGGACAGTTCACAGTAAATATGCGGTAGGAGAAAAGGATTCCATATTAGGGGACTTTGGCTGACTGACAATTACAAAAAATGTGTTCATGTTGCTCCATAAGGACAAAGACTGAGCCAAGGCTGAACAGAGAACATGTTAGAGTTGTTGACCTGAAGTAGCCTAGGTAAGAGCTAAGTGGCTGGTTGGCTAGGGGTCCACCAGCCAAATCTTTCTGTCGAACATGCAGTATATGTTGGCTATTTGCGGTAGCAATTAGCCTGGGGACGAGGTTAGGGGTTTGCCAAAGAAGACAAAAAAACAGACAGAAGCAGCTAGGTCCAGAGGCTGTCCTCTTTCCTGAAGCATCTGAAACCACAGCGGGAACAACAAGAATATTGTTCCTGTCTCCAGGGTTGCTCTTCTCCTCCCTCTCCCTAGCCAGCTGCCTCTCAGCTGAGCTCGTTAACGTTCTCGGAAATGAAATTACCAAAGCTGGTTCACCAAATAAATGCATCTCCAGCTTCTTAACAAGAGCACTTTCTCAAGCAAGAATTTTGCTAGGACTGTCTTGGAGTGGGGAGGGGAAAACTAGTCGTTAATTGGCAGAGGTTGTCTATTCACTAAACTCCATTCGACCAAAAAAGTCAGCCTGAAATCTCTATTTTCAAAGAAGCTCAAAACACTAAAAGGGCATCATCATCTTCACAATTTCACAGTATTATTCCAACCTCAGTGTGGAAATATATATATATATATATATATAAAAACACAGGAAAAACACATTTTGACTGCACCGGGCCTTTAATGGCAAGGTGTGTCTTCTGACTTTTCTTTTCGGGGGAGAGGACGATATTATCCTGTTGTCAGGTTGGTCTGCTGTGCCCCAGCTATTAGCGCTGATCATTTGTAGAGGCCACTTGGCCATGGCTGTACATAAACAATACATTGTAGGTAATATGTCTATTTTGTGTGGCGTCTTACTGGCAGATCAGTGAAAACCAGACTGAGTGAATCAGTGGTGCACTTTGTGAACCAATTCATAAAATCACCTGTTATCATTACAAAAAAGAGCCAGATTCCACAAACATTCCCATCGGTTGCTTGCCTTGTCATGCTCTTGGCTACATCTCCGATTCTGATTTCACTTGAGTCAAGTTAAAAAGGTCCAATGCAACCGTTTTTATCTCAATATCAAATCATTTCTGGGTAACAATTAAGTACCTTACTGTGATTGTTTTCAATTAAAATGTCAAAAAGAAACAAAAGAATTTTCTACAACTTGATTGGCATCCAGCTGTGGTAAATTCAATTGATTAGACATGATTTGGAAAGGCACACACCTGTCTATATAAGGTCCCACAGTTGACAGTGCATGTCAGAGCAAAAACCAAGCCATGAGGTCGAAGGAATTGTGTCGAGGCACAGATCTGGGGAAGGGTACCAAAAAATGTCTGCAGCATTGAAGGTCCCCAAGAACACAGTGGCCTCCATCATTCTTAAATGGAAGAAGTTTGGAACAACCAAGACTCTTCCTAGAAATGGCCACCCTGCCAAACTGAGCAATCGGGGAAGGGCCTTGGTCAGGGAGGTGACCAAGAACCTGATGGTCACTGACAGAGCTCAAGTGTTCCTCTGTGGAGATGGGAAAAACTTCCAGGACAATCATCTCTGCAGCACTCCACCAATCAGGCCTTTATGGTAGAGTGGCCATATGGAAGCCACTCTTCAGTAAAAGGCACATGACAGCCCGCTTGGAGTTTGCCAAAAGGCACCTAAAGGACACTCAGACCATGAGAAACTAGATTCTCTGGTATGATGAAACCAAGATTGGCCTGAATGCCAAGCATCACACATCTGGAGGAAACCTGGCACAATCCCTACGGTGAAGCATGGTGGTGGCAGCATCATGCTGTGGGGATGTTTTTCAGTGGCAGGGACTGGGAGACTAGTCAGGATCGAGGGAAAGATGAACGGAGCAAAGTACTGAGAGATCCGTGATGAAAACCTGCTCCAGAGCGCTCAAGACCTCAGACTGGGGCGAAGGTTCACCTTCCAACAGGACAACGACCCTAAGCACACAGCCAAGACAACGCAGGAGTGGTTTCGGGACAAGTCTCAATGTCCTTGAGTGGCCCAGCCAGAGCCCGGACTTGAACCCAATGGAACATCTCTGGACAGACTTGAAAATAGCTGTGCAGCAACACTCCCCATCCAACCTGACAGAGCTTAAGAGGATCTGCAGAGAAGAATGGGAAAAACTCCCCAAATACATGTGTGCCAAGCTTGTAGTGTCATACCCAAGAAGACTTGAGGCTGTAATCACTGCCAAAGGTACTTCAACAAAGTACTGAGTAAAGGGTATGAACATACTGATGAATAGACTCCTTCAGGACGAGCAGTAACAATTATTGCAATTCAAACAATAGGTTACTGATTCAATTGCACTTGAAATTAATAGGCCTATCATTTCCTCTGCCAAAGCCTTAGCAATGTTTGCAGAGTCGGACTATGGTTTTAATTTCCCAATACAGCCAACATCATCAACATCCATCTTGTTGTTTCCATGGAAAGTAGTGTACCCAAGAGAAGCACAAGCACAACAGACTTCCACAACAATATAGGCCTATCATACATTACTAGACAAAATTTGAAACGTTGTGTCAGCCCCAGGGTCAACTGAAAAGGACTACATCATATGATCATGTGCTTGTCCAACAGAATAAAATAAATGCAATTGATTTAATGTACTAGGCCAATTTAGAGTTGTAATCACTACTTTAGTATCCCACGGATAACAAGCCAAAACTGTATACAGTTTGATGTCCCCACAAATCAGATTTCACGGATGACAATCTTAATTGTGCTCATCAAAGGCTCTGTAGTACCATGGCGTCCTGAATGTGAACCACAATACCAGCAATTACTGCATAGGCATGCCGGTAGGATGCATGTCTGACCTCGGTCTAGGAATAGAGCTCACCAGCTTGTAGTTCTAAAAAACGGAAATTAGTTACCTCTGATTCGTTCGGCCATTCCATTCAGCCAGCGGGGTTCTCAGTCCATCACGAGGACAGGAAGAAAGAACTCTCCGGAAAAAGAAAGGTGGAGGGGTATGTTTCATGATGGTGTGATTATGGTAATGTACAGGAACACAATACCTTTTGTTCTCCAGATCTGGAATACCTCACCATCAAATGCCGACTGCATTACCTCCCGAGAAAATGTTCTTCAGTCATCGTCACAGCCATGTATATTCCCCACCAAGCCGACACCATGACGGCTCTCAAGGAACTACACTGGACTTTGTGCAAACTGGAAAACACATATCCTGAGGCCGCTTTTATAGTAGCTGGGGACTTTAATAAAGGAAATCTCTACCTAAATTCTATCAACACGCGTAATGAAGAATCTGGATCATTGCTACTCTACCTTCCCAGGATGGCTACAAGGCCCTCCCCCGCCCTCCCGTCGGCAAACCAGATCACGCCTCCATTCTCCATTCAGGGTGGCTGGTAGCCTAGTGGTTAGAGCGTTGGGCCAGTAACTGGAAGGTCGCTGGTTTGAATACCTGAGCCGACAAGGTGAAAAATCTGTCGATGTGCCCTTGAGCAAGGCACTTAACACTAATTTGCTCCAGGGCGACCATACTACTATTGCTGACCCTGTAAAACAACACATTTCACTGCACCTATCTGGTGTGTGACAAAGCATTATATATGTTTTGCTCCTCCCCACCTATAGACAGAAACTTAAGCAGGAAGCACCCGTAGTAAGGACTGTTCAATGTTGGTCTGACCAATCGGAATCTATGCTTCAAGATTGATTTGATCACACGGACTGGGGAAATGTTCGGGTCAGCCTCTGAGAAAATAATCAACTTATACACTGACTGGATTCATCAGGAAGTGCATAGAGGATGTTGTTTCCACTGTGACTATTACAACTTATCCAAACCAAAAACCGTGGATAGAAATCATGAAATGCTTTGAGAGGCTAGTTAAGGATCATATCACCTCCACCGACACCCTAAACCCACTACAATTTGTATACCGCCACAACTGATCCACGGACAACGCAATCGTCATTGTACCCCCAGGGGTACTATAGTGCACAGGTTGAGAACTTCCAGGAATAGGTAAAAAAAAGACTGCAAAATGACACTTGATACATTGCAGATACGGGGTGAAATGTGTTGGCAATTTAAGCTGCAAGAGACAGTCAAATTTCAATATACAAATACTTGCTTTGGAAGTGGACTAAAATCTGGCCTGGGACAACGCTAGTAAGACAGCCTTGAAATCTATAACAGCTGACCAGATCGAGGGGCCTACCGTTACTCCTTAATTTAAGGTCCAAGGATCTAATATGTTATTTTTAAAGTTAGACTGACTCTGGAAGCCAAAACAGCCAAATACTCCATCTAAACGTGAATATATTCTCAATAGTGATACTGTTCTAAAAATATAAAGCCCTTTATTTTCAGATCACATCAAAATAACTTCACAAATGCTAAATGAAACACGTACACTGTTTTAACCGGCTTTGTCACAGTTGCAGCTGACGTATTTTTCAATGAGAAGTTTCTGGCGGCCTTCTTCCGTTAGACACAGGTGTTCAGAGCATGCTAGATAGCTAATTAGCACAGGTGGTCTCTCGGTCTTCCGTAAACACACGCCATAACATGGATATGGCCGTGTGGGAACGCTAACCCTATAAAAAGGTGTGTATCAATTTAACCTTTTGTTTTTAGAAAATGATTTATTGGTGATATGAAAGAAAAAGGTCCTTATGCTTCCAAAACCGTATCGCAAGCGATGCGTGTAAATGTTCAGACAGAGCATCAGTTTACCAAACCTCCCCCGTACAGAACAGAAGACGTAATGGAACTGAGTCATGATCAAGGGCTAACGTTAGCTACTTATCTTTTAGCTAGCTAGCTATCACAACAACAGCGACATCGATTTGAATGTACAGTCATACAAACACAACATGAACATCTAACTTACCTCTTTATTTGCTAAACCCTAAGGAATCGCATGTCAAAATGCACTTCTTCAAAAGATTTGCAGTAAACAGAAGAAAGCCTAGCACCATCTGTCCACCGATGGCTGTCAACACTACCGATCTCCCTAATTTACTACTATTCTGCAAGCAGCAATAACGATGTCACTTTCCTATGGTAATGAGGAACCCTTCAAAATTAAAGCCCGCATTTCAAAACAGTGCATGGATAATTCATTCAAAAGATATTCTATTTCAATCAATGTCGATTTGTATTGTGTTCGTAAACAAATGCAATGTCAAAATATATATAATCAAAACCACTATTGACAATATTGGGATTATAGTGAAAAAAAAAACTATTCTGTGTGGCATTGTAAAAGTGGGTTTGGGAGTACTCGGTAGGGTCTGTAGAATCTATATATGTTGTCATTTCATGGGGCAGTGAAAAATACGATGTGTTGTTAGCGTTTTACTACATCCATTCCATAGGCCACAATGCAAATCACTGTATATTAAATACATATTGTGCCCCATCAAATGACACCATATATGGATTCTACAGACCCTACGGAGTACTCCCAACCCCATTTTTACTTTGGCACATAGTTGTTTTCTATAAACCAATATGTAATTTATAGGCCTACAGTGTATTGCATTGGGACCACTGGAATGGGTGGATTAGAAAGTGCTGCTAGGTATGTAGACCTCAGTAACCCAAGAAATAACACCACATTTAGATACTACAGACCCTACAGAGTATTTCTAACCCCACTTTTACATCGGCACAGTCACTTTCTCTATAAGACAATATGTAATTCATATGCAGTGTATTGCATTGCAGTGAATAGAGTAAGGAGTCACCAGCACAATGTATTAAACCCGTTGCCCAGCACAATAGACCAATTTAAGTTTAGTAGATTTTACATATTGCTGAGGCTATATTTAAATAACTTTTAATGAAATATAAATATGTAAAATCTACAAAACTTAAATTGGTCTATTGTGCTGGGCAACGGGTTTAATACATTGTGCTGGTGACTCCTTACTCTATTCACTGCAATGCAATACACTGCATATGAATTACATATTGTCTTATAGAGAAAATGACTGTGCCGATGTAAAAGTGGGGTTGGGAATACTCTGTAGGGTCTGTAGTATCTAAATGTGGTGTTATTTCTTGGGTTACTGAGGTCTACAAAGAAAGAAATGCTGGTCTTTGAAAGAAATGCTGGTATAAATAATTTTTAAAAAATGGGTGGTTGCAATGCTGCGAAAAAAAACAGTTATACTGCACTGGATGCCCCCCCAAAAATCGATATTCCAAAGTTTAGCATGTCTTTGTAGGGGGACTCTTATTTTGAGGGGGAAAAATCCGCGATCGTGATGCCAGCATCATATCCTGCTGCAAGGAGAACGGTAATCCCTATTTTGATGAGGAAAACAAACGCATGTGGTTTTGTCAACCAATCAGGTGAAGGTTCACCGATTTGCAGTAAACCAATCGCGTGAGTCCCGGACAAATCGGTCAGGGGCCCGGCTCAAATCAAAGGAAAGGATGCATAATGAAGCCATGTTACACTGCAAATCAACATACAGTATAATACTAAAGAAGCCTTTACTGCCCTCTAACAAGTTATTGGATCACCATGAACTTGATTTGCAGAATAACATAGGTTTAAGTGTTTTTTCCACAGTGTAATGTAATAAAATGTTGCAATGTCAGCGTGCAATCAGAATACTGAAAGTGTACATGACCTTTTACTGTAATTCTAACCCATCACTTATTCAAAAGAGAAGTGATTTATTTCATAATCTAACATGGAACAGGGCTTGAATCAGCAACACAGTGATTACAGTGAAAGTTTAGGCCTCAGTGGCGGAGGAGCTGGGAACCACTGGGAGCCCGGGAGCAAATGTCACAGGTCCCCTATCCTACAATTAGTTTGTAACAGAGGGCCCTTTCAATATATTTAAAATGGGCCCATGTTAGGCATGTACAGTGCCTTCAGAAAGTATTCACACCCCTTGACTTTTTGCAAATTTTGTTGAGACAACCTGAATTTAAAATAGATTAAATTGAGATTGTGTCACTGGCTTACACACAATACCCCATCATGTCAAAGTGGAATTGTTATTACATTTTTTACAAATGAATAAAAATCAAATGTCTTGAGTCAAAAAGTATTCAACCCCTTTGTTATGGCAAGCTTAAATAAGTTCAGGAGTAAAAATGTGCTTAACAACTCACATAAATTGCATGCACTCACTCTGTGCAATAAGTGTTTAACATGTTTTTTGAATTACTACCTCATCTCTGTACCCCACACATACAATCATCTGTAAGGTCCCTCAGTCGAGCAGTGAATTTCAAACAGATTCAACCACAGACCAGGGAGGTTTTCCAATGCCTCGCAAAGAAGGTCACCTATTGGTAGATGGGTAAATATAAAAAAAGCAGACATTGCATATCTCTTTGAGTATGGTGAAGTTATTAATTACACTTTGGATGGTGTATCAATACACCCAGTCACTATAAAGTTACAGGCGTCCTTCCTAACTCAGTTGCCGGAGAGGAAGGAAACCACTTAGGCCAATGGTGACTTTAAAACAGTTAAGAGTTTGATGGCTGTGATAGGAGAAAACTGAGGATGGATCAACAACTACTACAATACTAACCTAATTGACAGTGTAAAGGAAGCCTGTACAGAATAAAAAATATTCCAAAACATGGATCCTTTTTGCAATAAGGCACTAAAGTAAAGCTGAAAAACATGTGGCAAAGATATTAACTATGTCCTGAATATAAAGCGTTATGTTTGGGGCAAATCCAACACAACACTGAGTACCACTCTTCATATTTTCAAGCATGGTGGTGGCTGCATCATGTTATGTGTATGCCTATCATCGGCAAGGACTAGGGAGTTTTTTTAGGATAAAAGGAAACGGAATAAAGCTAAGCACAGGCAAAAACGGTAGAGGAAAACCTGGTTCAGTCTGCTTTCCAACAGACACTGGGAGACAAATTCACCTTTCAGCAAGACAATAACCTAAAACGTAAGGCCTACTATACACTGGAGTTGCTTACCAAGACGACATCGAATGTTCCTGAGTGGCCTAGTTACAGTTTTGACTAAAATCGGCTTGAAAATCTATGGTAAGACATGAAAATGGCTGTCTAGCAATGATCAACAACCAACTTGACATAGCTTGAAGACTCACAGCTGTAATCGCTGCCAAAGGTGTGAATATTTATGTAAATGTGATATTTATGTATTTAATTTTCAATAAATTAGCAACATTTTTCTAAAAACATGTTTTCACTTTGTCATTGTGGGGTATTGTGTGTAGATAGGTGACAAAAAATATATATTTAATAAATTTTTAATTCAGGCTGTAACAACAAAATGCAGAATAAGTCAAGGGATATGAATACTTTATGAATACTTTATCAGACTTACACTGCCACCTGCTGATAAAGGTACAATGGTGAAATGTGTGTTAGTGACAAGAGGACGTAGGAAAGCAGCTATAAGATTTTGAAGCGTGTCCATTAATGAGAGCCCACCAATGTTTACTGACCATACCCCGTTCACCTCTTTACAGGTATTGTAATGAGTGGAAATTTTGCATGTTTGGTGTTCCAGTAGTTATTAGGGTAATCCAGTTCTAAGTGTGATAAACACATTATAACAGGGTACTTCAAGAAAAATAAAGAACTTTAATTTAACCAAAAAATAGAGCTTTACATGGATTTTGAGACAAAAATAAGCAACATAATGAGATAAATGTTAATTAACTAGATTGCACAAGCTACATGGGTTTTTGCCAAGACATGGGTTTTTGCAATGACATCAGTCCCCTCTTCAATAACTAACAAATTCCTCTTCAGTAATCAACAAATGCCTCTTCAGTAATCAACAAATGCCTCTTCAGTAATCAACAAATGCCAGTTTGGGCTACACACTAATATGACCATTCTGTAGAAAGGTGAGACTCTCACAAACACAGGCCTCACAAGACTCCTCTGAAGGTCCCCCTGTACCAGTTTAAAAAAAAATATGGATGTATATATGGAGACAGTTTAGTGCCAAAAATAAGGGGTTAAATACATGTAAAAAATAAATAAAATAAATGTTTCCTGATCTTACTTATACCGTATCTCTCAGATATAGGACAGACACTTCAGAACAAACTTCCTTTAGAGGGAATATATGTTCCATGTAATTAATCTGTTATTCAATGCGTTTGTATGGGCTAATAGCAGTAAGGCCAAATAAAAATGTTCAAATAATTTTTTCATATGTTTTGGGATACTTCAAGGGCTCTTAAAATTCTAAATCATATTGCAAAATGATCCTTGGTATGACCTTCTTTAAACAATTCCATATAGCTTAGTAGAACACCCCCTGGGCTTACACAGGGCTTAGACTGTAATGGGTTAAACGGAGTTTGACCAACTCGTCTTTTTCAATATTGGAAGAAAAATAAATATCTTTTAAAAAACTAACAGAATCCATATGAAGGAAATCCATCGCAGTGACGGAGAACTTTAACCCCTGAATCCATTTAAATGCTTAGTGGAACCATTAACTTTAAAGGGATAGTTCACCCAAATTACAAAATCACATTGGTTTCTTTCCCTGTAAGCAGTCTATGGACAAGGTATGACAGCAATCCAAGATTTAGTTTCCTTGGCACCATTTTCAAATGGTAATATTTTAGCATGTGGCACAAATCCCATTCAAGTCATGGTACTTATTTGCATTTTTTTGGCACATAATATCCAAAACATCCTAAATTATCGAACATTGATTGTGTAGCTCAACTCACTTATAGATGATTTGGACCTGATGCACAAAAAATGCTAATATAGGTACCATGATTTACAGGGGATTTGTGCCACAAATGCTAAAACAAAAGCACTTTTTACAACAGCATTTGTCAAAGTGCTTCACGGTAACATGGCCTAATCCTCCAAAGAACAAGCAGCAGCACAGTGGCAAGGTAAACCTCCCAGATGGAAGAAACCTTGAGAGGAACCAGACTAAGGCACTTGTGCCATGTTTTAATGTCAAAACATATATTTTGTAAAACCACAAACACTAACAGAACCACCTTTTAAAGCTGCAATCAGCAGTTGAAACAATAAAAAAAAGTGTACTCCTCACCCCTGTTTCGGTAAAAAGCTGAGGGAAGGGGCTGGAGAAATGTAACCACTCAAATTCATAGAGCTATGGATGCAAGGACTGACCAGCCATGATATAGAAATTAGTTTTAAAAATGTGTTTACATTTACTTTGTTTACAAACATTGGAGAAAAACAAGCTTATATTTTGGGTACAACTGTTTAACTAAGCTCATGAGGAATTGATAAGTTATATTCTTCAAGAATCAATGGGTACATATTATTTATTATTATAAGTCCAAAAATGGCTGTAGCAACTGCTGATTGACCTTTTAAAGGGTTAGTTCATCCAATCTACATGCTTGGGTGAAATTAAATCTACAATGGCTGTGTTTACAATTCAGATTTTTGTGCCCAATTACAGTGCATTCGGAAAGTATTCAGACCCCTTGACTTTTTCCACATTTTGTTACGTTACAGCCTTATTCTAAAATGGATTAAATTGTTGTTTTCCTCAGCAAAAGGCACATGACAGCCCTATGGTGAAGCATGGTGGCTGCAGCATCATGCTGTGGGGATGTTTTTCAGTGGCAGGGACTGGGAGACAGGTCAGGATCAAGGGAAAGATGAACGGAGCAAAGTACAGAGAGATCCTTGATGAAAACCTGCTCCAGAGCGCTCAGGACCTCAGACTGGGGCGAAGGTTCACCTTCCAACAGGACAACGACCCTAAGCACGCAGCCAAGACAACGCAGGAGTGGCTTCAGGACAAGTCTCAATGTCCTTGAGTGGCCCAGCCAGAGCCTGGACTTGAACCCGATCGAACATCTCTGGAGAGAGCTGAAAATAGCTGTGCAGTGACGCTCCCCATCCAAATTAAAGGGGTCGGAATACTCTGAGTGCACTGTATTGGCAAAAGATCTGATTGGTCAAAATACTAATTAGTGGCAAAAGATCAGAATTGGGATGCCTGTATAAATGCAGCCTTTTGAGTTGTATATGTTGGCCTGAGCCCTATACTACGTACATGGTTTGACGAGTTAGTGAGGTGCGGTAACTTTGACAAACTCGGAGTTCCTCGGGATAACCGGTACCACAAAAGTGACCTTTACATTTCTATGGCAACGAATCCTTCAGAACTAACCTGCTCCAGGGCAGGCTAACTCGTGGCTAACTTTTTATACTGAATGAAGCGTCTGAGCCGCGAGTTGAGGACCAATAAAATCAGATTCCCTCCTACTAGCAAAGATTGCGTCATCATCCCCTTCATTTGAGGAAGACGACTGATTAAATATTTTATTAATCAAATGTTTGTGTTCGATAGTAGTGGGGAAAAAGGTGCTGGTGCATTGATAAGCACACCAAAGATGGCATTACCAATAAGTAATACAATAAAGACGGCACTTTTACAAGCCTATTTCACACCATAGCCTGCTGAATTTGCATTGTCTAAATGAAGAGTTCAGAGTTCGACTAGCCATGTGCGACACGCACAAGCCTGCTAGAGTTAGCCGCAAGCGGACGAGCAATATCCACAGTCATAGTACGGATTGTGCCGGAGCTGAATGTGAAGCTAACTGAACCTGGCTAGCTTTAGAAAACCCTGAGTAGAATATAGCTTCAATCGTAGTATACCTCTCTGTAGTGACAGCATCCACGATAATCCTTTGTATACTTTTGCTACAGCTAGCATGATTACATTAGATAAACTAACCCTTTAACTTGGAGAAATTCCAACTACATTTTTAATTTATTTTTATCTACACAACCCACTCCATACTTCGTAAAGGTGTTTTTATATAGCGTTGGCCTTCATTGTACTGCTGAAAGGTGAATTTCTACCATAGACTACTGATAGTGTAGCTGTTGTTAACTTTTATTTTGAAGGCTATATTAACTCCGAAGTAAATTTGTTGGTGCTTCTGGCGAAATTTGGGTCATACCGAATTGGTCCATGTATTGAAAGTAAAATCATTGGTATTAATTTACAAAGCAACTGTTCCAAAACCATTGCATTTTAATTGAAAAATCACAGCAAAAATGGAGCTAAATCTGGAAGAACGATAATCTGAAAATTGCTTAATGGTAATTTAGATTCTTGAAATACACCTATTGATTCTTTAAGAATATTAACGGAAACTCGTTATTCACTACGCGCAGCACTAAATCTGGCGGGAAAATCCGACCCGACAGGGAAATCGAATACAGTGGTTTTCAGGCAGGATGGAGACGCAATATTGTTACTGTTGAATCACATTGATGACCACTAGGGAAAAAAACGAAAATACACAAAGTTACATAATGGAGCTTTAAACGCCCCATGAGCAAAGCACAACCATCGGTCTTTATCATAACCCAAAATATTTGGTTTTATTACACTATAGTTTACAAACGACAATGTAAACAAACAATGTATAGCTTGGATGTCATGGGCTGGTCCTCTGTAGCTCAGTTGGTAGAGCGTGGCTCTTGCAACACCAGGACAGTTGGTTCAATTCCTGGGACCACTCATTCGTAAAACAATTATGCACGAAGCACGCATGACTAAGTCGCTGTGGATAAAAGCATCTGGTATACTGTTAGTCCTTGCACCTAGAGCGGAGTCTATGAATTTGAGAGGGGTTACATTTTCCTAGCCCCATCCCTCAGCTGTATACCAAAACAAGTGACAGGGCAGCAGTTTTTCGAATCCCAGAATGTAGCTTTAATCTGTCAATTTCTGTCAAGTAGACACTTGAAAACAAGGATCGGTTTACACATTTTAGTTTGCTTGAAATTGAACCTAACTTAAACCTATAACAAAACTGATTTGCGTTTTAGCTAACAACTATGTGTGAACACGCTTATTGTAACTGTCCAGTGAAAATCTCACTTTTAAAAGTTCTGTTAACTCATACCCAAATAACGTTGTTGATTCATCCTATACTTGTATGTGGCCAAAGCATAAAGCATAAACCCACTTCAAAGACCACCTCAAACAGACAGTTTCAGAAATGCTTTCCATTTCTTCATAGAGGATGATGTCATCCTCCTGAGGAGGATGAGATGGCCAATCAGCAGCCTACTTGCTTGAATATTTTTTATGACCAGTATACGCCCACACCATTCTGTTGTTGAGGTACGCCCACATCATTCCAACAGAAAAGCTGCTTTTTAACATACTTAAAAGGATACTTTGGGATTTTGGCAATGAGGCCATTTATCTTCTTCCACAGTGTCAGATGAACTCGTGGATACCATTTGTATGTCTCTGTGTCCAGTATGAAGGAAGTTATAGGTAGTTTCGGAAGCCAATTCTAACTAGCGTTAACACAATGACTGGACGTCTATGAGTATCTGCTAGTTTGGCAATTCCTTACTACTAAGTACTTTCTGATGTACCTGTGTCATAACAGATTTGAATAAGCCATCATTCTCAATTCACTTGTGTTGATAGTCTGATAGCATAACATCAAAAAATAAACCTGAAAACATGGAATTGTCATATGAAATGTCCTAAAATAGCCAAAGAGATGCATCCTTCAAGCAGACATGAAGGAAAAGTGTATAATAACTAACTGGCTGAATTTATGTATTTTGGGGGGATTGGCACTAGGTTCTTCTCAGTTGATGATTAGAGGGAGGATCGATGAGGGCCGTCTGTCTGCAGTCAGTCACTGCTACTGTCTGAGCTCACGTAGCAGCCTTCCTCCCCAGTGTGCCCCACAAAGCAGAGACCTGAGGAACACCAGCAACAGAACAAGGTGGTCAGTCAGAACTACACTGCATATACAAAAGTATGTGGACACCCCTTCAAACGAGTGGATTCTGCTATTTCAGCCACACCCGTTGCTGACAGGTGTATAAAATTGAGCACAGCCATGCAATCTCCATAGACAAACATTGGCAGTAGAATGGCCTTACTGAAGAGCTGTGAATGTAAAACGTGGCACAGTCATAAGATGCCACCTTTCCAACAAGTCAGTTCGTCAAATTTCTACCCTGCTAAAGTTGCCCCGGTCAACTGTAAGTGCAGTTATTTTTAAGTGGAAACATCTAGGAGCAACAACGGCTCAGCCGCGAATTGGTAGGCTACACAAGCTCACAGAACGGGACCGCGTTGATGTGATGTAGCGCGTAAAAATCGGCAGTCCTCGGTTGCAACACTCACTACTGAGTTTCAAACTGCCTCTGGAAGCAACGTCAGCACAAGAACTGTTCGTCGGGAGCTTCCTGAAATGGGTTTCCATAACCGAGCAGCTGCACACAAGCCTAAGATCACCATGCGCAATGCCAAGCGTCGGCTGGAGTGCTGTAAAGCTCGCCACCATTGGACTCTGGAGCAATGGAAACACGTTCTCTGGAGTGATGAATCACGCTTCACCACCTGGCAGTCCAACGGACAAATCTGGGTTTGGCGGATGCCAGGAGAACACTACCTGCCCGAATGCAGCGCCAACTGTAAAGTTTGGTGGAGGAGGAATAATGTTCTGGGGCTGTTTTTCATGGTTCGGGCTAGGCCCCTTAGTTCCAGTGAAGGGAAATCTTAACGCTACAGCATACAATTACATTCTAGACAATTCTGTGCTTCTAACTTTGTGGCAACAGTTTGGGGAAGGCCCTTTCCCGTTTCAGCATGACAATGCCACCGTGCTCGAGGTGAGGTCCATACAGAAATGGTTTGTCGAGATCGGTGTGGAAGAACTTGACTGGCCTGCACAGAGCCCTGACCTCAACCCCATTAAACACCTTTGGGATAAATTGGAACGCTGAATGCGAGCCAGGACTAATGGCCCAACATCAGTGCCTGACCTCACTAATTAATGCACTTGTGGCTGAATGGAAGCAAGTCCCCACAGCAATGTTCCAACATTTAGTGGAAAGCCTTCCCAGAACAGTCGAGGCTGTTATAGCAGCAAGGGGGGGCGACCAACTCCATATTAATGCCCATAATTCTGGAATGACATGTTCGAAGAGCAGGTGTCCACATACTTTTGATAATGTAGTGTATTTTATCTCTATGGCTAATATCCTGTGAAAGCATAACTGGAGCCTCCATGTAATTTTAAGAGGCTTGATACAATGATGGAAAGCTAGTGAAAGAGTTTGGGGGCGGTAGCTAACTGACTGCAAATAAATGTAAATAACTTTAGCTTCTGGAATTTAGTGCAAATGATTCTGAAATCTTACCATTTAAAGTCTTCTTTTCATCTTCCTCAAAGCGGTCGAAGTCCAAACTAACAAAAGCACTCTGAGGACATCACAATATTTATCATGAATAAACAACGAGGTATGACATCTACTAGTACATTCTGTTACTGTAAGCAGAACTCTAACAACTCATTTGGAAGGTCATGTCTTGTATTTTTTAGTTCTCAAATGTCAAGAGGACTAAATATCCAAAGTATGTCTACCTACAAGTATTGCTAGCTGTACAAAAGAGATTAGGAGATAGACATATAATACTATATATTTTTCCCTTAATAAAAAGCACTACCTTTTGCTTGAGGAGCATCTTCCAGTCTCCCCTCTCCTGTTTGACGAGCCTGATGACTGGCTCATTGCACTTCATCTCCCAGGAGCACTTCTCTGCAGTGATGTTACTATGGAGCTCCAGGTCAGCACGGTAAGGCCTGTCATTCACATACGCACTACAGAGGCAATATAATCGTTAGAGATGAAATATTATCAAATGAAATGCTTCTCTCATTTGTGTTGCAGGGAATTACAGCCCCAATGTTAACTTCATCTTTTAAAAAACTCCTGCACACACAATGTTACCTTGCACGGGAGTTATTTTTTACATTTTTATTTACATAGAACAGAAACATTAACAGCTCAGCACTTGCCTCAAGCTACTTTAGATAAAAACTGTCTGTTCAGGTGGTTGAAAGGACATGTGACAGACATTAAACAGACCTGTACACCACTCTGTCAGGGAAGAATTCACATCTCTGTTCCACTGGTTCTCTGAGCTTTATGTTCAGTGTGACTGTGTCATCTCTCTGGAACCACTTGATCTGGGGATGGAAACTGAAAAAGACTAACTAAATGTAAATCTATGATGGATTGGAGTCATTTGCATTTCAATTCAGCCAATTTATATATTAAGTAAACTGAATTGAAGTGGAATCGACTCCATGCAACACTGATGCGCACTACAAAAACACAAAATCAGCTTAATTTGACTATTCAGAAATATAAGGGATACGTGTACCTCAAATACCTTTTTGGTGCGTCCACATCGACCTTGTCAACACTGATGACTTTCTCACTGTTGATGACTTGCTGGCCGTTGATTTGCTTCTCATCGATCAAATGACCTGAATAAGACAAATGCACCAGTTGGAATAGTATGAAGAGCCAGCCTTATGAGGTACAACAATGGTGAATGGCATAGTAGACTACTCTATATTTGAGTCTTTATATGTCTTTGTTGATCATTATCAACTTGTGTTTTCAACAATAGTGAATGTCATGGTTGACTAGACATACATACATACATACAGTAAATTTACTTTTTGGACATTGTTGATCACTATCAAACTAAAATAGTTTTCATACCATTTTCAATGGGGCGGGGAACTGCAGAAATCCAGTCTTTGGGGGAGAATCCTTGTAGAGCTGTATGCCTGCATGACAACACAAGTCTTGTGAACATCACATGTTGAAGTGAGATCAATGAAACACTAGCCATTGATCACAGTTAGGGCACTCAGCACTGAGACGTAAGCCTCTGCCGCAGACACTGGTTAAATCAACGTTGTTTCCACGTCATTTCAATGAAATTACGTTGAACCAACGTGTAATAGACGTTAAATTGACGTCAGTGGACAGTGGGATATCTCGGGTCGGGTGCAGAGCCGCACTGTATAGTGAAAGAATCAAACATCAGAAAATCTATTTTTATTGACTGACAGCATCAAAGAAAAACAATAGTGAAGACACCAACCTCCGTGTTGGAGTGGTGCCTTGGAGGTTAGCTATGAGGCTCCTCCACTGCTCCATTTTGGGGTAATTGTCCATGGGTGTTGGGGCAGGTAACTGGGCCTCGCGAGGTGTTGGGAGTGGGGAAGGTAACTGGGCCTCGCGAGGTGTTGGGAGTGGGGAAGGTAACTGGGCCTCGCGAGGTGTTGGGAGTGGGGAAGGTAACTGGGCCTCGCGAGGTGTTGGGAGTGGGGAAGGTATCTGGGCCCTGTCCATGAGTGTTGGTAGTTGAGCTACGCTCGGATCAGGTACTGCTGCTAATGGGGCCTCCTTCTGTGGCTTGGGCGAGAGCTGGGTAGGGCATACAAAGACCTTCTGGTCCATCTGACGCAGGTCTGCTGAGTCCTTCATATGGCACTGGGACAGGTCTGTCTGGGCATGAAGCACAGCCGTTTGGTTCTGGGGCGGGTCTACAGAAACCTCCTGGCCACAGTGTAAGCGCTCGACGGCTGCCCTCATCCTGTGGACCAGGGCCTCCTCTGCAGCCTGCACCTTGTTCTCCAAGGTCACCTCAGAGCCCTCCGGCCTAGCAAACAAACCAAGCAGACACGAGTCACGACACACAATCATAATAGGTTGGTAATGTAGTGCTCTCATTAAGTACTGGGGATGAAAAATCGAATGGTTGACAGCCATGTCCTCTCTGACGTAACCCCATATCTGCACATAGCCCCTGGTGTAGCAGCATAAGTTTTAACATGCTGTATTACATTGTGCCGTATTATAAGTGAAGAATGCTGTTGGATGTCAGTGTACAGTATCTTGTATTATGAGGTCCTATGGTGCTGAAAGCCTGGTTACCCATGGGCATAGAGGACTGAACTCACCCCGTGGTGAGAGGGGTCTCCCCAGCACTGGCTCCAGGCCCAGCCCCGTGGTGGAGCTCCTTCAGCAGGTCCAGGTGCTGAGGGTTGCTGGTGCCCATCCCTGTGCTCAGGATCTCAGCGTGGATGTTGTACTCGTTTATGAATGTCTTCAGGCCTGGCAGACGGGTCATCCGCACCTGAGAACAGAGCACATTTTAGTCATTTAGCAGACACTATTATCCAGAGCGACTTACAGGAGCAATTATGGTTAAGTGCCTTGCACAGACAGATTTTACACCTAATCAGCTTTAGGATTTGAACCAGCAACCTTTCAGTTACTGGCCCAACGCTCTTAACCGCTAGGCTACCTGCCACACAAGGATTAAGGACATTCAGTGTTTGTGTGTCTGTGTTGAAATTCAGCTGTCTGTAGATGGAGTAGAAGTAGCTAAAACCAAATGGAAGATAAAAAGTGACAACCTACCATGGGATCGACGAAGACCGTGTTTCCCAAACACAGAACAACCTTGGCTTGGTGCTGCAGGCCTTTGATCTTCTGACTGATGGCCCTGGTGACCTGAATCCACACCATTGGAATAATGTCATTGTAACCTGTTGTTCTAGACTCATTGATTATGCACTTTGAAAAGGTAAGGTCCTACACTAGCAATTGGCATTCACAATATGAGTCTCCGGCAATCACAATCTCAACACATAATTTGAGCTTCTGCAACATAATTCACAGTCATTGCTTCTAATCATTTCAATGTTCTATCCCTAAAGATGAGCTCCGAAAAAGTGAGTGAGAGAAAGAGCCCAGTGAGTGAGTGCAGCCTGGTGTATAGACCTTGGGGTTCCATTCGACCTCAGCGTCGATGGGCATAGCCCTGCAGACGATGATTTCCAGAGCCTGGGGTGGCAGTGTGTGGAACTGGGGCGGCAGCTGCAGCAGCTGGTGGGACTTCACCTCCTGCTCACGCCCCTCATCCAGGAACAGAGCCCTCACGCTGCAGAACAGACACTCACCCTTGTCCGGCACCGAAGTCAACCGCACCCTGCATGACAGGTAGGAGAGGAGCAGTGGGTGAAATTGTTAAGGAACGAGAGGTAGGGTGGCATTGGGTTGATATGTGACAAAAGCATTTGACCCACCCAGAGGATTTGGACTTCACTGCATGTAACCATTACTTGGCATGTTGTTTAAACCTGCTTCATGGCCATATAACATACATCATCAGTTATGAAAGTGACTGAATTAATGTTGTTTGGTGTTTGTTTTCTGACCTGTGGTAGACCTCATCCTCTTGTACTCCGTAGAGCCCTCCCTCCAGAACCTCCTTAGCGCCCAGCTTCTCAGTGGCGTAGTACGCAGTCATCTCTGCTGCCAGGCTCTCATAACTGTCCACCTTCTTACTCACAATGCGTCCGTAGTAGACGGAAGCAGTCTTGATGTACAAGGGCAGAACCTTTCAAACGTAAGCGTGAAAAAATTGAATGTCTTCATTTGTATACATTCAGATAGAATATTAAACTATATTACACCGGTGACCTCATTGGAAAAGCTTGAGAGGATATGTCCAACTTTGGCATGTGTTCTTGGCTGATATCTACACCCCTGAAACAAGTGTTATCATATAATATGCTGACTCACCACAATAGTTCCAGAGTCTGGTTGCAGTGGCTGATCCTGTATGGGGCTGATGCTGTGTCGATAAGAACAAACATTGCTGTCCCTGCAATACAGCACAAGTCACATTAAGTACTACATAAAGAATATCAGGTGCCACCTATTGCTGCTGTGCCCTTAAGCAAAGCAATTAATTACAAAACTATAAAGTTATATTCTTAAGTGCATAGGACAAGTATGCATCTTTCAAAAGTACCCAAATCCAAGGTTCAGCTCATGTCTGAGTATTGTAACATGCATAACAGCAAATCAAATCTAACATTATTGTCCCCATGGAGAAATGTTCTTGGCAGAGTACTGCCTGCATCTCAGCAGCACTGACCTGCAGAAGCCGAAGCTCTTGAGGTAGCTGCAGAGAGGCCTGTCTGACTTCTGTTCCTCCTTGGCCTGCAGGACTCCCTGGGCGAAGTGCAGCAGCTCTGGAGGCAGCGAGGCCTCAGTACGCTTCAGGTAGCGCAGGACCCCGATCACGTGACGGGCATTCCTCTCGGACAGCAGCAGCACTGACTTGGCAGGGTGGGCTGTGTTCTCTGCAGCACGCTCCTGTCAATCACAGAATCCCATATGAAAAGGAATTCACAAAGTAGACCATGCTCATACAGTCAAAGCAGACACAGATGCCATCTGAATAGGTTATGTAAAAGGAGATCAAAACAAGTCACTCATGGCCATCTTCTGACTTGAGATCTGCCCGCTAACCTAGGCTTTTCACGCAAGTCTCCCAGAAGAAGTCAGAGCTTTGCACGCTTATCTCAGCTCTGAATCCGGCACAGAGCAAGAGAAGGAACATATTGTGCGGATTTGGTTTGTCCTAACGTTACCTTGTCTGAGAGGTTCTGGAAGTTCTGGGACATGCAGAACAGACGGCTGCCAAACAGCTTAGGTGAGCTTGGGAAGCCGTAGTGCACAACACACGTAGCATCACGGATACCCAAAGACTTCATACACTCATTGGTGGTGACTGGTGGACAGGAAGAGAAGGAAAGAAAAATAGGTCAGATTTATCAAAGGGCAAATTAGAGAAAATACCTGGAGACACGCTCACTTTCAATCAAGTGAACTGAGCTGACCTGGCAGACTATGCCATAAAATGGAAAGATGTATGCCATTTTTATTCATTGCAACTGTCAACTCCTAAGTAAATGCAATTGTGGGTCAGTTCACCCAGAATGACATGAGTGCCAGGTCCAATGGGCTTCGTCCACTGCTCAGTCACCAAGTCAAACTGGTAGGTTAAGCCCTCGTGGGCCTTCAGGGAAAACGCTGATGTGTTGGAAACAGCCTGAATGACAGATTCAAGGAACAAACATTTAGTTGAATGAATATACATTAACAATGTTTTGTTTTTCTAGTACTGTACACTTCTGGTAAGACGTCCAAAAATAAGGTTACAAAATGCTAATCTTACAAGTATTGAAATGTAGCAATGGCTTTTTGTTTCTATAGTACCGTGCTCCTGTAGGGGACAGGATGTCCAAAAATAAGGTTGGCAAACAAACATTTATTTGTTCTAGATCTATAGATTGCTGTAGAGTTACCTTGAAGACGTGCTCGACCTCCTCAACAGAGTTGGTGATGACAAGGGTCTTCTGGGCCATGTCGGGGGTGAAGTCCAGTGCCCCGAGCAGGACAGAGATCTTAGTGCAGTCCAGACACAACAGGATAATCTGGGGGGAGGGTTGAAGAGAGATGCGAGAATGCTTTCTTTATTTTTTATTATTGAAGAACATTTACACATAAGTGAAACTTTGCTTTGAGCGATAGAATACAAAACAACTCTTAGACCTTGTTTGACTCATGGACCCTTCCACCCTTACTAAAAGTAATGACTAGTCTAAATGAGGTACGATGAAAGCAAGTTTACTGCCCCATTACATAGCTTTAACCAATCACAAATCCAACCAACAGGCCCTTGAAATCAGAGATGGATACACACTTAAAGGGATAGTTGAGGCAAAATCTATATTTGAGTGGAATTACCCTTAACTTTAGTTGTGTCTGAAGGCCCATAGTGACAGAATCCACAATAATCCATTACATTTAGTTTGAATTTAGTTTACAGGGTTTTTATGAGTTAATTTCTGCTTGCGATGCAGCTTTGCTAACATCGGTCCGGCTGTTCACGTTCATGAATTTGGACGAGGCTAATTATGCTAGCTCCTGGATGTGGCAGAAGTAAACAATGGACTATTGTTGATTCTGTCACTATGGGCCTTCAGACACAATTCAAGGTAAGGGTAATTACACTTAAATATAGATTGTTTTTGTTGGGACACAAGCCATAATTTATTTTGTTGTCAGTCCTTTCAAAACTGACCTGGTGCACGTTGCCGTAGAGTGCAGCCTCCTCCATCACCGTGACGATAATGGTGGGGTTGCTCATGTGGTTGTGGAGCAGACCCTCCAGGTGGTGGCACCAGCGCTTGCCCACTGCGATGATCTGTCTGGGGCACGACACCCGCTCCTCGCTGGCCGTCACCCTCTGGAAGTGCTGCAGTATGGTGGTCATCTGAGGAAAGGGGGAGAACATTAGTCTGACAAACTGCTGAGGAGACCGTGGCGAAGGAGGAAAACCAATGAGACTGAGTTTTCTTTTTGTATTTTAATAGGATCCCCATTAGCTGTTGCGAAAGCCGCAACTACTCTTCCTGGGGTCCGCACAGATCATGAAACATGACATAATACAGAACATTAATAGACAAGAACAGCTCAAGGACAGAACTACATACATTTAAAAAAACGGCCCCGATAGCCTACATACAGTGGGGAGAACAAGTATTTGATACACTGCCGATTTTGCAAGATTTCCTACTTACAAAGCATGTAGAGGTCTGTAATTTTTATCATAGGTACACTTCAACTGTGAGAGACGGAATCTAAAACAAAAATCCAGAAAATCACATTGTATGATTTTTAAGTAATTAATTTGCATTTTATTGCATGACATAAGTATTTGATCACCTACCAACCAGTAAGAATTCTGGCTCTCACAGACCTGTTAGTTTTTCTTTAAGAAGCCCTCCTGTTCTCCACTCATTAGCTGTATTAACTGCACCTGTTTGAACTCGTTACCTGTATAAAAGACACCTGTCCACACACTCAATCAAACAGACTCCAACCTCTCCACAATGGCCAAGACCAGAGAGCTGTGTAAGGACATCAGCGATAAAATTGTAGACCTGCACAAGGCTGGGATGGGCTACAGGACAATAGGCAAGCAGCTGGTGAGAAGGCAACAACTGTTGCCGCAATTATTAGAAAATGGAAGAAGTTCAAGATGACGGTCAATCACCCTCGGTCTGGGGCTCCATGCAAGATCTCACCTCGTGGGGCATCAATGATCATGAGGAAGGTGAGGGATCAGCCCAGAACTACACGGCAGGACCTGGTCAATGACCTGAAGAGAGCTGGGACCACAGTCTCAAAGAAAACCATTAGTAACACACTACGCCGTCATGGATTAAAATCCTGCAGCGCACGCAAGGTCCCCCTGCTCAAGCCAGCGCATGTCCAGGCCCGTCTGAAGTTTGCCAATGACCATCTGGATGATCCAGAGGAGGAATGGGAGAAGGTCATGTGGTCTGATGAGACAAAAATAGAGCTTTTTGGTCTAAACTCCACTCGCCGTGTTTGGAGTAAGAAGAAGGATGAGTACAACCCCAAGAACACCATCCCAACCGTGAAGCATGGAGGTGGAAACATAATTCTTTGGGGATGCTTTTCTGCAAAGGGGACAGGACGACTGCACCGTATTGAGGGGAGGATGGATGGGGCCATGTATCGCGAGATATTGGCCAACAACCTCCTTCCCTCAGTAAGAGCACTGAAGATGGGTCGTGGCTGGGTCTTCCAGCATGACAACGACCCGAAACACACAGCCAGGGCAACTAAGGAGTGGCTCCGTAAGAAGCATCTCAAGGTCCTGGAGTGGCCTAGCCAGTCTCCAGACCTGAACCCAATAGAACATCTTTGGAGGGAGCTGAAAGTCCGTACAGCCCCGAAACCTGAAGGATCTGGAGAAGGTCTGTATGGAGGAGTGGGCCAAAATCCCTGCTGCAGTGTGTGCAAACCTGGTCAAGACCTACAGGAAACGTATGATCTCTGTAATTGCAAACAAAGGTTTCTGTACCAAATATTAAGTTCTGCTTTTCTGATGTATCAAATACTTATGTCATGCAATAAAATGCAAATTAATTACTTAAAAATCATACAATGTGATTTTCTGGATTTTTGTTTTAGATTCCGTCTCTCACAGTTGAAGTGTACCTATAATAAAAATTACAGACCTCTACATGCTTTGTAAGTAGGAAAACCTGGCAGTGTATCAAATACTTGTTCTCCCCACTGTATCAATACATACACACAAAATATCTAGGTCAAATAGGGGAGAGGCGTTGTGGTGTTGCTTTTGAAGTGCAGATGACCAGGATTACTGCTTTAGGCAGTTGAAAGCACTGGAGTCTGGTCTAGTTTTATCACTGCAATCTCCGGACCGCATATACCCCCTGGTGACGGGGGTTTGAGTTCTGTCTTGGCTATTTTCCTGTCTGTGCCCCTTTACCATGTGTATCTCCCGCTCTCTCCTTTTGTACGGTCCTATCACTACAGTTGAAGAACAGTCATTGTGTCTCTCACCTCATCCGGGGCTCTAGAGAAGAGCAGGTCCACCTCGTCCAGCACCAGGTGACACAGCCGCAGGAACTGGAAACAGTGCAAACACAGCAGACGCACCAGGCTGAACGGAGTGGTCACCACCACCTGGCCTGGAGACAGACACACAAACACAGCAGGAGAGGAATGTAATACTCCTGTCTGTCTGTCAAATCTAACTGTCCTGACCCTGTGAATAATGGTCTTACAGTTGTTATGGATCTTGACAGTCTTTGCCTCGTCCTTCCCCAGTCCCACCAGTATGACCATGGGGTTGAGGACCTGGGCGGTCTGGCTCTCCTCCAGCAGGTCAATGACAGTCTGGGCTTTCTCCCACCCCGGGCACAGGATCACCGCTATGGGCTGAAGGAGACAACATACAATGTGGTGTTAGATAAAACAGAATAAACACAAATAGATCCTTTAACTGCAGATTTGTCAGCAGAAAGCCATGTCTGACTTACTGGTCGTAGTTTGGTAGGTTACTGCAGTTTGGCGTTGAACCCTAACAAACCAATTAAACATCCATATTTCTACATGCTACTTTGTCTACGTAGAGTGGTATCACCATGAAAAGAGTTGCAGAGGCCTGGCATAACAAAGATTTGACTGTTTAATTGATGCCAGACAATTTTATTAGGGGGCCAACAGAGATAGTAATCCAGTAATAGCAGGGGAAACACTGGAAATAACACCATTCCTGTCTAGTGCTCTGCTTGCTCAACTCACCCCGGTGCGAGACGAGAGGGCGCTGAAGACGGAGGAGAGCTGCATGTGGGCCAGGAACGGGGGGATGTAGGTGAGGGGCTGGTCTCCGCTGTGGGAGATGAGGACCGTATCACAGCCCCGGGCCACCGCCGGCCAACAGTAACTCTCAGCCACAGACGGGCCGGCATACTTCTTCCTCATCAAGATCTGAAAGGGAACACGGTGCACATACCAGTCTTCATCATGACATACTAGTCTAGACATTTACAGATTTTTCACCTAGTCGACTTCGGGATTCGAACCAGCGACCTTTCGGTTATTGGCCCAACAACCGCTAGGCTACCTGCTGCCCATACGACTGGACATTATTGTTGCCTAAGATCTTCAGGGTAAAATGTTGAACAGTCATTTCAAATGTTAAACTATTTACATTTATACTGAACAATCTTATCTTGACTTCTATTACCTTATTCCAAACATTACATTACATTCCTATCATTACATTTTCACAGTTGTAAATACATTTACATTTTAGTCCATTTAGCAAGCGCTCTTATCCAGAGCTATGTACAATCAGTGCATTCAAAATACATTCCATTCGAACGTTAGAACATCGTTGAAAGCAAACCAACCCTCCGGAAGGTGTCGGTGATTGGAGCGTTGGCCAGACTGGTGCAGGGGTCCAGAGTAAAGGCAGAATGCACCACTATCCCACTCCTGCTCAGATCAGTATGGACGATCTGACATGAAGAACACATTTAGTCAGTCATGCACAGTAGACATTATTGTATGTGCACAAAAAATGTCAATACATTTGGTGAAAGCTACCCAAGAAGGAAGTGATGAGTATATCTGCATTCAGTCCATTGATGCAACAAAAAAAAGGCATAAATTAAGGTTGATTCGATGCTTACAGTAACTTCTGATGAGTCTACATCTGGGTTCAGAGGGTCAGGGTTTAGCAACTGCAACAACCGAGCGCAGACTAGCTCCTCCTCAGTAGTTTGCTGCTCTGTGAAGACGAACTCTTGTGTCCGGTCTACTAGGTCACTAGGAGTACTGGAAACACAGAGATGAACGTTTTTAGTACAGCCATTCACACTAATATATATATTATACACATAGAACGAAAATCTAAAACGCAACATGTAAAGTTGGTCCCATGTTTCATGAGCTGAAATAAAAGATCCCAGACATTTTCCATACGCACAAAAACCTTACTTCTCTCAAAATCTGGGAACAAACTTGTTTACATCCCTGTTAGTGAGCATTTCTTCTTTGCCAAGATAATCCATCCACCTGACAGGTGTGGCATATCAAGAAGCTGATTAAACAGCATGATCATTACACAGGTGCACCTTGTGCTAGGGACAATAAAAGGCCACTAAAATTTGCAGTTTTGTCAGACAATGCCACAGATGTCTCAAGTTGAGGGAGCGTGCATTTGGCATGCTAACTGCAGGAATGTCCACCAGAGCTGTTGCCAGAGAATTGTATGTTCAGTTCTCTACCATAAGCCGCCTCCAATGTCATTTTAGAGAATTTGGAAGTACGTCCAACCGGCCTCACAACCGCAGACCACATGTATGGCGTTGTGTGGGTGAACGGTTTGCTGATGTCAACGATGTGAACAGAGAGCCCCATGGTGGCGGTGGGGTTATGGTATGGGCAGGCATGAACTACGGAAAACGAACACAATTGCATTTTATCAATGGCATTTTGAATGCACAGAAACACTGTGACAAGATCATGAGGCCCACTGTGAGGCCCATTTTTTTTTTTTTAAGTATCTGTGACCAACAGACGCATATCTGTATTCCCAGTCATGTGAAATCCATTGATTAGGGCCTAATGAATTCATTTCAATTGACTGATTTCCTCATTAACTGTAATTTTGTTCTGTATATATAAAAAACATTCACCCAAGAAATTCAACAAAGTTTAATTGTGAGAAAACACACACACATCACTTGTCTTAGCTTTTAATGTGATATACCTTGGTTCAGTGCATTGTTCCACAGGATCGACAGGTTGACTTTCACCACTATTATGAAAGGAATACAGCAGATGGAGCTTTAAACCAACTCTCTGACCAATTCACTAACTTACATATGGACAAAGTCATGGTTGAAAGGGAGGTAGCATTAAAATACAAACAAAATGTGAGCGGTAGTGGTGAACTGATGGTTGTGGTCGAAAGAATGGCAGCAGTTTTATTTTTTTTATTTGACCATTTAAAATACATAAAAATGCTACACCATGTAACAGATACACATGCCAAAATTGCTGAGGATTATTTACACAAAAAAGTAAAAAGACTTTCTTCCATTGTGGTCCTCTAAACAGAACAAAGTATGTAAGTGGAAGTGGCCGGAGGGTTGTGTTCATACCATACAGCCGTTTCAGTCTGTTGTCCGATCTGTTGAACTGCAGTGATCGGCTCTTCCTCTGCTTTCTCCGTGACCGCAGAGAACCTCTGAACACCACCTTCCTCCTTCTCTTCATTAAGCTCAGTCTGACAATTAAACAAAAGGTGCTTTACAGTATTAGTCCACGTCTCTTTTTGGCCCAAGATTCACTACTGAGATTCCATTTTGGTTCACATAGTCCAAAGGTTTGGGCACCCACGACTTAGAAACATGAGAAGCAGAGTTCTCGTGCAAGTGAATTTTTACAGAAACGAGATCGGCCTTCGAGATCGTCCAGAAACTCACGTTGGGAATAGCAGCCCTTTGAGTGCTCGAAGCAGAATTCACGAACTTCATGAATCTGTTGAGATCCACAACAAGTAAGAATTTGATTCAATGTCATTCAAAGCAGATTAGGACAGTAGCATGAAAGTAGAACACTAGAGCATTATCTCACCTTAACAGATTCAGATTTCTGAACAGTTCTGACACAAGAGATGTGTCGGTGTCCTCTCCGGGCTCGTCATCGCTGAAAGAAGAATGCTATGATTAAAAACAACAGTGTGACATTATCTTACTGCTAAAGGCAGCCCCACTCCCAAGTGACCTGTTGAGCAATAAAAACAATAACTAAACCTATAGAACAGACCTCTCGTCTTCGTCGCCATCAATCTCTGAAAATGTCTTGGATTTCTTGTTCTGCCGCTGCGCTGCTTTCTTATTGCCTCCCTCTGGGGGATTTCTTCCATTTTCTAGGCTTTTCTGTAAAACAACAAGTCAATAACATAACAGTGTTGGATTTCACAGGAGGATATAACTTTTTATGTGGGACATGATTACAACTGCTGCACCTTATTGAGGGTAATATAAACTCAGCAAAAAAAGAAACATCCCTTTTTCAGGACCCTGTCTTTCAAAGATAATTCGTAAAATTACAAATAACTTTACAGATCTTTATTGTAAAGGGTTTAAACACTGTTTCCCATGCTTGTTCAATGAACCATAAACAATTAATGGACATGCACCTGTGGAACGGTCGTTAAGACACTAACAGCTTACAGACGGTAGGCAATTAAGGTCACAGTTATGAAAACTTAGGACACTAAAGAAGCCTTTCAACTGACTCTGAAAAACACCAAAAGAAAGATGCCCAGGGTCCCTGCTCATCTGTGTGAATGTGCCTTAGGCATGCTGCAAGGAGGCATGAGGACTGCAGATGTGGCCAGGGCAATAAATTGCAATGTCCGTACTAAGACAGCACTACAGGGAGACAGGACGGACAGCTGATCGTCCTCGCAGTGGCAGACCACGTGTAACAACACCTGCACAGGATCGGTACAACCGAACATCACACCTGCGGGACAGGTACAGGATGGCAACAACTGCCCGAGTTACACCAGGAACGCACAATCCCTCCATCAGTGCTCAGACTGTCCACAATAGGCTGAGAGAGGCTGGACTGAGGGCTTGTAGGCCTGTTGTAAGGCAGGCCCTCACCAGACATCACCGGCAACAACGTCACCTATGGGAACAAACCCACCGTCGCTGGACCAGACAGGACTGGCAAAAAGTGCTCTTCACTGACGAGTCGCGGTTTTGTCTCACCAGGGGTAATGGTCAGATTCGCGTTTATTGTCGAAGGAATGAGCATTACACCGAGGCCTGTACTCTGGAGCGGGATCGATTTGGAGGTGGAGGGTCCGTCACGGTCTGGGGCGGTGTGTCACAGCATCATCGGACTGAGCTTGATGTCATTGCAGGCAATCTCAACGCTGTGCGTTACAGGGAAGACATCCTCCTCCCTCATGTGGTAACCTTCCTGCAGGCTCATCCTGACATGACCCTCCAGCAAGACAATGCCACCAGCCATACTGCTCGTTCTGTGCGTGATTTCCTGCAAGACAGGAACGTCAGTGTTCTGCCATGGCGAGCGAAGATCCCGGATCTCAATCACATTGAGCGCGTCTGGGACCTGTTGGATCGGAGGGTGAGGGCTAGGGCCATTCCCCCCAGAAATGTCAGGGAACTTGCAGGTGCCTTGGTGGAAGAGTGGGGCAACCACTCCCCCCCCCCCCCCCCCCCCCTTTGTTCAGGGACACATTATTCAATTTCTGTTAGTCACATGTCTGTGGAACTTGTTCTGTTTGTGTCAGTTGTTGAATCTTGTTATGTTCATACAAATATTTACACATGTTAAGTTTGCTGAAATTAAAACGCAGTTGACAGTGAGAGGACGTTTCTTTTTTTGCTGAGTTTTGTCAGTCACCTTTGGATTTGATACCTCATTGGAAGCCTTCGATGCCTCTTTCCCAGATGTCGTTAGATGCCACGGATCAACCACTAAAGAGATCAATAAAGAAAGCTCAATGAAGAACATTTTAGTAAGAGTTTCCCCCTCAAGTTCATGCAGTGACATTTTACAACAGGAACTTTTTGGAAGACATAATAAACTGTTCTTAATGAGACTTCACAATAACGGAAGGTGCATTCACCTTGATTATGAACGGTTGGGTCCTGCTGCCGGGGCGGGAAATCTGAAAGTGATCGTACGGTGCAGCCGTCAGTAGCCAGGAAGTTCTGAGTTTCAGAAAATATGTCACAAGCCAAGACGGCAGGGGATCTATCAACAACACCATTCTTTCCACTGGTTTGATGGGCCTTCTGGCTTGTGAAGTACGCAAACTTCTTTGAGACGAGATCATCGTTCACACAGATCTAGAGAGATAACCATCTTTTAGCTTCAAAGTTGTATAGAAAAACTCAAAATAATAGCTAGTTATGGGAGGCATCACCACTGATTGTATGTTGTACAATACCTTGACATTTTTGACAGTCAAGTAGAGCTCAATGGCAGTGCAATCTGCCTGTGTTTCACACAACACTGCCTCCATCTCGGTAGAAGCTTCAGGCCAGAGAATCGAACAGAGAGCACAGTTAGGACTGATATACAGCAATGAGAGTCCAGCACTACGACCTGCGCTTTCTCAATTGCTCAATTCAGTGATCACGATTGAAACTGACCTTGCAGGAGAGGATTACATACCTTGTAAGAGATTGTGCAAATAGCGTGTGGCAGAGCTGTCCCATTGCGTTGATGGTCTAGAATTAAAACAAGAGCTCTGTGAGTAGTAATAACGAATAACAACAAAGGGCATTCTTTTATTTATATATTTGTATTTTACCCCCCTTTGTCTCCCCCATTTCGATCTTGTCTCATCGCTGCAACTCCCTAACGGGCTCGGGAGAGGCGAAGGTGGAGTCATGCGTCCTCCGAAACATGAACCGCCTAACCGCGCTCCTTAACACCTGCCAGCTTAACCCGGACGCCAGCCACACCAATGTGTCGGAGGAAACACTGTTCAACTGGTGACCGGGGTCAGCCTGCAGGCACCTGGCCCGCCACAAGGAGTCGCTAGGGCGTGATGAGCCAAGTAAAGCCCCCCCCAGCCAAACCCTCCCCTAACCCAGATGACGCTGGGCCAATTGTGCGCCGTCCTATGGGACTCCCGGCCACGGCCGGTTGTGGCACAGCCCCGGAATGAACCCGTGTCTGTAGTAACGCGATGCAGTGCCTTAGACCGCTGCGCCACTCGGGAGGCCCAACAAAGGGCATTCAAATAGTACTAAATAATCACAGTAAGTTTAGTGCATTCGTTTATTCGGCACTGCAGTCCACCCTTACATGAGCTCAGCTTTCTCCAGGCAGTCTCCAGACACCTGCAGCGTCATGGGATGAACACCAGCGAGCTGAAACTTCCTCACCCAGAAGGGCAGATGCAGAAACTTCTCTAACAGAGCCCGAATCCTGGGGAAGAATAGAAGGGCTCCATGATCAGACAATTACATTTCATGACATACATTAATCAAGTGCAAAACCAAGAAGATGGGCAAAGTCTTTTTGGTTGCCCTTTGCATCAGCTGCCACAACAGGGATGAGTGAGTAAGTGAATTAGAATTAGGACATACTCATCTGAGCTGACGATGATGCGCTCTCCGTGGTCAACTAGGAAACACATGACCTGGGTTCCAACGGTGCCCAGGAAAAGGGATTCAACAATGGCTCGGCACCAGCTCCTTAGGGCAGACCAGTACACCACACACACCTGGGGAGGGGAACAACACAATGATGATGCTCTCTGTTTTCATATAAAGGTGTAGTAACTATTCAGTCACCTAACATGAATTTATCATTAATGCGCTATGCCAGTCAGGCAGATCTGTAAATGCACATTCAAAAACAATAAATGTCTTTCATCATGTGCATATACTCTTACCATAAACTGAAGATGATAAAACATTCCACAGATTACATTTAGCTCTGATCACCAGTCGCTCGCTTCACACAGATTATTACCTGTCCCGCCTCTATAGTTGAGGGTTTGATCTTCTGCACATCGAGGTTGACCTCATGATAGAAAAGGTTCATTTTCACTTGCAGATCATCATATGCTTTTTTATTCTCGACCGCTTCTATCCCTGGACCATTCACAAACCTGCCCCACAGACAGGACGGGTTCTCCACCTGTCAAAGAAAACATGGTGGTGAAACCTTTTTCAATTTGTAAAGCAACAGCCTTTTTAAGGGAAACAATAAATTTGCAAGGTAACAAGACAGCCCATTGGCAATCTAGATAGTTAGATATGTTAGTTGCAATGTTGTGTGGAACAGCATGCATAGCTAGCTACTTACCTTCAACATATTTATTTCAAGCATGGTTTCAACCGTCACTGACAGTTTGGTCACCTGCAAGACATAGGGTTCAAATTCAGAACAATTAAGTACATTTGCTAACTACAGTAGCTATCTGAATTTGCTGCAAGCATATATTTACTGCAAGGTAGCTAGCTAGCTCACCTTGTTTGTTTAGCTAGCTACAGTAGCAACTTTACTTACAGTAACAACTTAAACTTACAGATTTTTTTTCTTCAAATGTGAGTTTGCTTTTGGTTGCTACGTATTTGGTTGTTAGTTGTGCATTTCTCTGATTAAACTAGCTAACTAGTTAGCTAGAAAGTTGAATAATTTGAAAATGTATCCGGGGAAAGTCGAAATGCAGTCTGGGTATTTCCAAAAAGGTAATTGTTAATTACGATAAACTTTGCACTGCCAAAGACCACTGTAATGACCTAAACAGTTAATTGCATGATGATTGTTTACAAACATTTAGTGATATTCAGGCTGTCGTGCATGACAAACAACAATTGGTATTAGCTGCTACCTTGTTTTGAAACCGAATGAAGTTATCAGCTGAAAGTAATTACTGCATCAATTAATGGGCGGTCAAATCAATGAGGTTCAAACGTATCAAGCTCACACTGTCATGTGCAGTTTGCCCAACATGACTGTCATGAGTACAGTCAGATAGGAAGAGGCGAAGTCTAGACAATAAGATATATAATATTTGGTACAGTATCGCATTCCGTTCGAGGTTGGGTAGCTATATTTCATACCTGTTTCAATGGATTCCGAGCGCGCAGATGTAAAAACTGCGCATCAGCACGACCGCAAAGTTTACACTTCAATATAGTTCGTAGTCCACAGGATGGCGCTATAACTCCAGTGTTGAGGCTCCGTGCGTTTACACTCCATATCCATAGTGGGCGCTATCGCGCTGTTTACTGATTGGATCAGACGCAGCCGAGAGAGGGAGATATTTGAAAATTTGGAGGCAAGCTAACTTTGTTTTAAATAAAGAGCTGACATATCGTTGTGAAAATGGAGATAAAACCTCCAGTTTTTGTGAACGCCGTTCCCCCGTATGGGCATGTTATTGCCAACGAGAAGTGGCGAGGCTCTGTCCTCGTGCAAAGTTTGAAAGGTACAGTAGCGAAGTCGCTTACCAAAGTTACCGGATACAGTAGCTAAGGCAACTATTATATTAACTAACCTGTGGCTAAGTGTTGGCTAGCCAACGTTAGATAGTTAACATTGTAAACAAAAAAACAACTTAGCGTGTAGTTAGCCAGCTAACGTTAGTTAGTTCAGCCCATGAAGCCCAACTTCAGTCAGTCTGTCTTTACTTTATTAGTTACACGTCAGTGAAATTACGTTACATTACAACTGAAATACATTTACATTTTACAGACAAGTTAAGACAAACAATCGATACACCACTAGCTAACGTTACCAGTAGGAACAAACAATCGGTACTACCGGCAGGCACCCCATTGTTAACGCACAATGTCCCTCCATGTCTGTTTAACAGAAGACATGATTATTAGCTAGTAAATACTGAGTGATTAAATAAAGTATCTTCTCGTTTGTTACATTCTGAACATGGTGTCGTTGAATTCCTGACTTTCAGGAACTGGAAGTGTGAAAACAATATATGAAGAAGAACTTGGCGTGGTGGACTTTCATCTATCTAACAAGAGCTGTATCTTGTATGTCTCTGAAACTGACATTGTGGCTGGAAACAACTACAAAAGAAAACTTGTGCGGTTTAGAAATGTAAGTCTACCTTTAGGTGTTTTGCACTACACTACTACTACACACTTGATTATGCTGATACATCCTAAAGCATAATCCAGTTCACATAGCCACTGTTGATTGTAAAGCTGAACTATTGATATATAATATTTTTATGTACATGCTACATCTTCAATTTTTCCTTGGTGATGTTCTAATCATTTCTCCCTCTCTGTTACAGGCCAACAGCAGCCTCCAGGGCATAGTGGTGGTGGAGAAGACCCGGCTCAGCGAACAGTACTTTTCTGCCATGCAGAAGTTTGTGGTGTTTGAGCTTGGCCTGACACTGCTACCTGTTGCCAGCCAGCTAGAAGCCTCCCAGCTACTCACACAGATAGTAAGTCATACTTTCACACAAGAGAAAACGACTGAAGAGTTTTGTTTAGCATTGTCACTTCACAAATATTTTCCTGGTTACATAAATATGTGTTAAACTAAAACTGGCATACAGCCATTTAGAACTCAATAAATGAAATTGTATTTGTCACATGGGGCGAATACAACAGGTGTAGACTTAACAATGAAATGCTTGCTTACGAGCCATTCCCAAGGATGCAGAGTTAAAAAATAATTTAAAAAATAGTCTAACCATGCATGATGATGATGATGATGATTGACTGATGAGTTGTGTCCTCTGCAGGTGCACGGAGAAAGTAAAGACAACCCGTTCCGCAGGAGGAGTGTGTCTCGGCTGCTAGACCCCCTGGTCATGTCCCTGGTTCAGCAAATCCCTGGGGTAGGGAAGGTCAAAGCCATGGCCCTGCTCCAGCACTACTCAAGTATCCACCAGCTGTGCAACGCAGGAACGCATGAACTGGAACACATCGTTGGCCAGGCCACGGCTCATCACATACACCACTTCTTCCACAACCCATTGGTCTGACTCTGACAACACAGCACAGCTCATTGACAAATCATTACTTGTTTTATGTTCAAGTGTGTAAGGAGGGCAACAGTGAACCTGACACAATGCTGTAAAGCTAAAGAGACTTCCCTAGTTGGAAATGTAGTGGAATTTATCGTTTTTTCTTCACATCTCTATGATACAAGCCTTGTTTATACAAACATAATGCTTTGGTGGCTCTCTGTGTATACAAAGATGTGTTGCAGTTCTTGGGCCCCACGGGCCTATAATATGTGTCAGTGCTATCTGGTATCCTTGGGATGTCCCTACCCTAAGCATTGTAAATGTCAACTTCAATGGGGAAGGTCCCAAGGATCACGAATAGCATTTGTTGCACAAGACATTGCAGAGCTACATTGGAAGTGTGTGTGTAACTGACCACTAGATGGAGTAGAAGATGCCCTTCCCTCATCCAGAACAATTCATAAACTTCCATTGGAATAATACAACCTTAACCAAGGACTGTTTTACTTGAACTGATAGCAGGTGCAAATGGTAATACTATATGGGGACCTTTTTCCAACCCATGTTAGAGCCTACATGGGAAACCTTTTAACTCCAATAGAAATGGCTTAGTTCAATCCATTTGCACTAAAGCATTCCGCCTCAATGAAGGAGCACTTTCTTGGCACAGCTGTCGAAGTCCTTCTTTCCCAAGCACAGTCTGATCATGTGACCTGGGCTGGCTGCGTGGAGCCTTCCCTGGCCAGTTACTTCTCTCTGTGACACCATCCCTTCCCAACCCAATCCAACAGGAACTAACACTGGCATGCTGGCCAAAGCATGAATTGACTGAATGAATTGACTCCTACCTCAGCTCACCCATTCTTAAGAACTGGAACTACAGTGTTTTTATTTTTTAGATGACTTCAAATATGTTCACTTTACTCAATTTGGGATCTTATGAGTGTTACTACATTTGGACAGGACAGTCTTTGTTTGCTTGTTTTATTTACACTACCGGTCAAAAATTTTGAAACACCTACTCAAGGGTTTCTCTTTCTTTTTACTATTTTCTACATTGTATAATAATAGTGAAGACATCAAAACTATTAAATAACACATATGGACTCATGTAGTAACCAAAAAAGTGTTAAACAAATCAAAATATATTTTATATTTGAGATTCTTCAAATAGCCACCCTTTGCCTTGATTACAGCTTTGCACACTCTTGGCATTCTCTCAACCAGCTTCATGAGGTAGTCACCTGGAATGCATTTCAATTAACAGGTGTGCCTTCTGAAAAGTTAATTTGTGGAATTTCTTTCCTTAATGCGTTGGAGCCAATCAGTTGTGTTGTGACAAGGTGGGGGGTATACAGAAGAAAGCTCTATTTGGTTAAAGACCATGTCCATATTATGGCAATAACAGCTCAAATAAGCAAAGAGAAACGACAGTCCATCATTACTTTAAGACATGAAGGTCAGTCAATCCGGAAAATCTCAAGAACTTTGAAAGTTTCTTCCAAGTGCAGTCGCAAAAACCATCAAGCCCTATGATGAAACTGGCTCTCATGAGGACCGCCACAGGAATGGAAGACCCAGAGTTACCTCTGCTGCAGAGGATAAGTTCATTAGAGTTACCAGCCTCAGAAATTGCAGCCCAAATAAATGCTTCACAGAGTTCAAGTAACAGACACCTATCAACATCAACTGTTCAGAGGAGACTGTGTGAATCAGGCCTTCATGGTCGAATTGCTGCAAAGAAACCACTACTAAAGGAACAATAAGGAGAAAAGACTTGCTTGGGCCAAGAAACACGAGCAATGGACATTAGACCGGTGGAAATGTGTCCTTTGGTCTGGAGTCCAAATTTGAGATTTTTAGTTACAACCGCCATGTCTTTGTGAGACGCGGTGTGGGTGAACGGATTATCTCTGCATGTGTATTTCCCACCGTAAAACGAGGAGGAGGTGTTATGGTGTGAGGGTGCTTTGCTGGTGACACTGTGATTTATTTAGAATTCAAGGCACACTTAACCAGCATGGCTACCACAGCATTCTGCAGCGATACGCCATCCCATTTGGTTTGGGCTTAGTGGGACTATCATTTGTTTTTCAACAGGACAATGACCCAACACACCTCCAGGCTTTGTAAGGGCTATTTTACCAAGAAGGAGAGTGATGGAGTGCTGCATCAGATGACCTGGCCTCCACAATCCCCTGACCTCAACCAAATTGAGATGGTTTGGGATGAGTCGGACCGCAGAGTGAAGGAAAAGCAGCCAACAAGTGCTCAGCATATGTGGGAACTCCTTCAAGACTGTTGGAAAAGCATTTAAGGTGAAGCAGGTTAAGAGAATGCCAAGAGTGTGCATAGCTGTCATAAAGACAAAGGGTGGCTATTTGAAGAATCGCAAATATAAAATATATTTTGATTTGTTGAACACTTTTTTGGTTACTACATGATTCCATATCTGTTATTTCATAGTTTTGATGTCTTCACTATTATTCTACAATGTAGAAAATAGTAAAAACAAAGAAAAACGCTTGAATGAGTAGGTATTCTAAAACTTTTGACCGATTAGAGTATATTTATTTAATTTCAGTGCATCATCTTAACTTTTGACCCAGTGTGATGCTGTGAACATTTGCACTTCACAATGAGATAATACCCTGCTGGCAGTTAAAAGGCAGTCAGTTGAAGAAGTCTTCTCTTGCTTTGTTCTCACTCCTTCCCTCTGTCCACCATCCAGTTACCCAGAGTGGCTCCTGTGATGTATTGGTTTTCTGCTCGGCTTCCTCCTTTAAGCGTCACAGCACACTGCTGGCAGTGTTCGTCGTTCCTCCCTCCCTGCCTGCACACAAAGCAGCTGGCCGATTTATTGGCCTTCTAACAGGATCAGCTGAATCCAGGCCCTTTATTGCGCCAGTCTGTGGTGTTGGCAAGAGAGGCAGAGAAAAGACCCGGTACGACCGCTCAACTTGACTTCCTAAATTCCACTAGGGTCCTTTAGAGAGGAAGGGAAGCATGAAGGCCTTCTTTTGGGATGCGTGCGCTGGTGGAGCAGAGGCGTGAGCCCTCCTCTCTTTGGGTTTCCTCTCCCGAACGGTTCAAATGTGGTCTCTCTCATCAGTAGGCTGTTCAGAGTTGCAGCAATGTAACATGACAGGCAAATTTTAGATACAAGAGGAAACAGAGGGGCAGAGTTGTGTGAATGGGAATGTATACAACATGAAATGTACACTGAGTAAAGTATTTGCTAAAATATGTTCACAAGTACACTATTATAAAGCAGATACATTATTTTAATTTGTTTTAAAAAATTAAAAAATGTTTTTGCGAAATTCCTGTCATGTTTTGTAATCTATTTATGCTCTTTTTTTTCCCTACAATTGAAAATAGTAATTTTGTTGAAGAGTAGGCTTATTGAGTCAGTTTGAGATCAATTTGTACTGTAGTAATATACAGGCACAGTAGATGGTGTGAATGCTTGTTAAATTCATTATTGGGTTTGCTCTTTCACCCCCTTTGAAATATTGATTATCTGGTCAATAATTTAGTATACTCAATTACTCCAAAATGGAGTACTTATGTTTACTGGGGTCACAGTTTTATAATTGTTTTTAACATTTATGTTTTTATATAAGACTGTTTGCAATTCACAAGATGGAATACCCTATTAATAATAGTTGAGAACATTGATGATGTGGATGTGTGTACTCTGGAAGGGGGGCATGAACACTGAGCAGTCGAGATTATGCACACGGTTTTGTTCAAGATGGGGGGCTTACTCAAGTAGGAGAGTACACCAAACTATGAAGCATGCAAGCCTCTGCTAAAAAGCATGCCATCCTATCATGTCTGGTATTGAAACAGAACATTTGGTATAACCAAAGATATTTATGGTGAAACTATGGACTTCGAAGTTCGAGGGGATCTTCGAATGAGTTTCAGTGATTGTACGAAAAGTCCTGCGCAGCGACGCTCAAGTACTTGGTGGGCCATGGCACGAGAGTAGGGTAGTTAGCATTCTACCCTGGACAGCGGCAGATTATTGCGCAAGCGCACCCTATTCAGTGTGCATCAATACTGTGTGTGAGTTCAAGAGAGGGATTCGAGAAAGCCTTTGATATGGTTGCAGACATGGATGGAGAAAAGCGGAAAAGAAGTATCTGCTCACGGCAAGAGCCGTTGGCTGCGCTGAAGATCTTGAAAGATGTGAACAACAAGCGTGACGAAAACCCTGATAGAGTGACTCTGAAAAAAGAAATAGGACTTTTAAGCGCCTGTACCATAATAATAGGTAAGGTTGGTAAAAGTGTATTGCATTTTAGAGACTATTACATAGGGGTGTTTGTTCATTGTTTTATTCGAATGCGCACCTTATAAAATAACTTTGTACATTTGCAATTTACAGCATTTGCCCTTGCTGAATAAAACATTAGTTTCCCAATGATGTATTATGTAGGCCTATTATTCAAGTCAATATCCTATATTTAGTCAAAAGTTTGTAATGTTTAGAAATAGGCCCATCTTCTCACCTGTGATGCTAAGAATATAGTACTATTTGAGCTGATCGTGCGGTTACATTACAACATTTTTTGCATTAAATGTCTACCTCAATGCTTACGTGGCCAAAATATATTAAGTCAGTCAAGTAGCACATTGGTTGTCAAGCAGAAGCTAATTTTCTGCTGAAGCAGAAGAAATGGCAGGGACTGCTTTAATAAATCTAATCTGCTTGTTGAAGGGTGCAAATTAAGATATAAACCCAAGTGTCACCTACACAGGGTTGGGGAGTAAGCTAATTTACATGTAATCTGACTACAAAAAATACTACCTGTAATCAGTTACATTACCAGGAAAAAATATTGTAATCAGATTACAGACACTTTTGAAAAACTAGATTACTTATTGGATTACTTTTAAATTCAAATGTTCAGGATGTTTGCAAAAAATACATTATGACACCTTTCTGTTTTCTCAATGACATTCAATTCAGCATTGAAAAAAATGAGCAAGTTTAAGTTTGTTCCACCTGAGCAAGTCTGACCACAAGTCAGAGACCAGTATAATGACACGCCAAATGTGTTAGATGGATCCTCATCAGGTCAAAGTAATCAGATTACATTACTGACTTTGGGTAATCCTAAATTTACGCTGTCATTGATTACAGGTCGTCATTGTAAATATGAATTTGTTCTTAACTGACTTGCCTAGTTAAAGGTAAAAATACATTTAAAAAAGGGTCAATCCCACTATACAGTCTGGAAGACGCATATTTATCATTACTAATAAATTCAATTTTAGGTGGTTTTGGTTTTCAGACTGCTGATAAATATGCTGAAGATTTCAGCATGGTCTGTTGCAATTATTACATATGTTCTGACTTGACTGTTAAAATTAGTTTTAGAGTTACTGTAAAATGGTTATTAAACTGAAAGAATAGGCCTATGTTCTATGCCATTTCTACTGACAGTGATGTTTTTCAATGACATTTACTCACAGCAGGCCCTGACCTACTCTTGTGGCTTTTGATTAGTTACATTAGTGCAGTTGTTTTTTATCAAGATTGGTCCTGGATTAAGACCTCTAAAATAGGAGAAAATGTGAAAATCCCTTTGACTCAGGCTTCTGCCTCCTGGAAGGACTTTCCAACCACAGAATGCTGATTTCTTTTATTTCATCCTTTATTTCGACAGTCATGCTGAGACCAAGGTCTCTTTCACAGATGAGCCCTGTATACACATCAATACACATCAATATACACTACACACATCACTGTACACCATAATATACACAAAGCAAAACACAATCATAGAAAATAGTACACACATTGATGCACCGTTGCATGTGTAGAAGAGAGACACAGTACAGACCACCAACTGTGAGTGGACAAGTTGAACAATCCAGACCAGGAAGTCCATGCTGGCATCCACCCTGTTGTTTCAAAGTTATACATCTTACTCCCAGTTTTAGCATTTCTGACAGGGGCACAAACCTAAATGAAAGCCGGCCGTGTAGAGTCTAGAAATAATGCAGAAGATGAGTTGAATTCAATTCTCGCGGATGGCTCATGCCTGAGCTCGACAGTTAAAGAGTAAATAATTTATGCCCAGTTATGTAATCGAGGTCTGTGCCACTTGGCTGCCTTCTGCTGTGCTACTCTGAGTGCTCTACCCTGAATGTGTTGGTTGGGATACACTTGGTCTGCGTCTAAAATGGCACCCAATTCCATAATGGCACTACTTTTCAATGGGGCCATTTCCCTTGGACATGGTACAGCCATATTGTAACCCAGATCATTGTATTACTTCAATGAGTGTGGTTGATGTTGAAGCAAGCCCCTTGGGTTAGATGGTAGCACTTCCTACTCTGACTGCTTGATCTCCTGCCCAAAGCTCTGTTCACTCACATCAACAGTATGATTGTTCCATTTCTGAGGTCCTCTGTGGACGATGTGTTAACTTGTAATGATTATCAGGGAGGATATTTTTGTCAAGTATATCTGAAAATAGAAAGCCATATCGTTTCAGGGTTGATGTGAGGATAAATCAATGAGGACCCTTTAGCTAGCTCATGGGTAAGTGTATAAACCAGATGATATAATGTCCCTTTTTTCTACACACTGCGATATATCTATTGTTTAGATCTCAATGTATTGTTTAATTACATTTACATTTTAGTCATTTAGCAGACGCTCTTATCCAGAGCGACTTACAGGAGCAATTAGGGTTAAGTGCCTTGCTCAAGGGCACATCGACAGATTTACAAAAACCTTTTAACATACAGTAACTGATTAACACATGATACAGCTTTATAGGATTTTATAATAGTCATATATATATATATATATATATATACATATTATTTTTTTAAACAATATTTCCATTGCTTGTTTTTGTGTGTATGCATTCTAGTAATACCTTCTCCCTCTCCACAGGGAACATCATAGGTTCTGGAATCTTCATCTCTCCAAAAGGTGTTCTAGAGCACTCAGGTTCAGTGGGTCTAGCACTGATCGTGTGGATACTAGGGGGATGTATAGCTGCCCTGGGCTCCCTCTGCTATGCTGAGCTGGGGGTCACCATCCCCAAGTCAGGGGGGGACTACTCCTACGTCACAGAAATATTTGGAGGCCTTGTTGGGTTGGTACCTCTGTCTCCCACACCTACAGTTTATATCACACCGAATGTGTATAGTTTGCAAGCTTATTATGAAATACGTAACATTAGGTTGGATCAAAGCAGACTACTGTGGGAATACATTTTTAATTGATGCTTTCATGTGCTATCCTCTGAGATCAAATTCACATATTGTTGATGTAGCCTATGCATTACTTTTTACCCCAAATAAAATTATGTTCAATTCTGTTTCTTTCCCATCCTAGGTTCCTTCTACTGTGGAGTGCGGTGCTCATCATGTACCCCACTACCCTGGCTGTCATCGCCCTCACCTTCTCTAACTATGTCCTACAGCCTGTCTTCCCCGACTGTGTCCCTCCCTACATGGCCACACGCTTGCTGTCAACAGTCTGTCTATGTGAGTACTGCACCGTGTGTCTGACTGTGTGTGTGGGTGTGCTATGTTTTATGGGAAGTTTATCTGATGCAACAGAGTAAAATATATCTTACGTAACCATTGCCTCTAAGCCTTTTAAAACTCTCAGAGTGGAGACAGGAATATAAAAAAATGCATGGTGTGTCAAATAGAAAATAGAAGGGGGAGACAGGAGGGGAAGGAGTGAGCAGGAAAGTTAGCGAACAAAGACTGATGAAGAGTGCAGTTTCTAAAGTATGTATAAAATCATCCCAATGGGCAAAATATGCCATGGGATGTCCTAGTTACGTCATTCTCTGGTTGTAAATTAGTTTTAAGTTCTTTACCAAGGAGACATTTGTTTTTTATATGGTTATAGACATCCTTTTATTGGTCGCTAAAAATACATCTAAAAACATAATTTTACAACCAAGTTGACCATGACGCCACAAAAGACATCCGAATGATGTAATTGCAACCAGTTTTGTGAACCTGAGGGAACGTGGACTTAAATTCAATGTCAAGTACAGTGTCTGTCCCATTCGCTGAACTTAGAGCCAATTTTGTCGCCTGTGATTTGTGTATTGCTTTTCACTGGGTTGCACCCCTCACTCTATCTACAATTTGGACATGCTAGTATTACTAATTACTTGGCACCAAGCTTGAGGGGACCTCCACTGTACCTCCACTGAACCCCATGAAGTAGAGAAGAACACACAAAACCCCCATTGTACCATGATTGAGCTGCGGAAAAGCCAACAAGCCAACAGCATTGTGGCCCATGAGGTGAAACAACAGGTTTTTTAGTGCGATCCCTGCTTTTAGGGGCCATTATTCTCACTTGTTTTTTGGGGGACTGGATGCCAACGATCTGGAGAAAACGTGAGCTTTCTCTCAGCCTCTTCAGGGACCTGCCTGCCTGTCCTCTCTGGGTTTTGTTCTGTTGCATCGGAAGCGGTTTGTTTTGGGGGCCTTGACACCTACCCTTTGTGTGTAAGAGCCAGGCCACCATGAGAAAGAGAGGCAAGCCAATGACAGTGATGGATGAGGTGAAACAATCATGTCCACCCCTTTGCCTTACCATTTCCCACATTCCGGTCTGCCATGGCAACTGCTAGGCCGCTGCCGCCCCACCAGCACCATGTACCTAGGCGTGAGCCCTGAATGACTGGGAGAGAACATGTCACATTACTGTGCACCTCACGGCTTGGCTGGCATCCCTAATGCCACATTCCGATTGGGCAAGAGCTCCCCTATGTGAGGACAAACATGACTTCTGACTAATCATTGTATGTAACTTGCTTAGGCTACTATACCTGGGTTTAAATAGTGTTTCGTTTTTCTCAGTTAAATGCTTGCCTTAAAGTAACTGTCCAGTGTTTCCAGATTTCTATGAAATATGACCTATAATTAATTTCAATATGAGTGCAATAGTTTTCTTTCCAAATGTGTATTTATTAAGTATGTTAAAAAGCAGCTTTTCTGTGTTGGAATGGTGTGGGCGTACCCCAATAACAGAATGGTGTGGCCGTATACCGATCATAAAAAATATGAATGCTAGTAGACTGCTGATTGGCCAGCTCATCCTCCTAAGGAGGATGACATCATCCTCTATGAGGAAATAGCAAGCATTTTTGAGATACAAGCTTGAGGTGGGTTTTTTAAAGTGTTTTTTCTCCAATTTTGCTTTGGCCACAAATACGAGTATAGGACGAGTCAACAACATTATTTGGGTATAAGTTAACAGAATATTAAGTTTTAAAAGTCAGATTTTCACTGGACAGTTACTTTAAAGTATTTGTGCGTGTGTGTGCATGCGTTTGTCTGTGTCTGCAGTGTTCCTGACCTGGGTGAACTGTTCCAGTGTGCGTATGGCCACCAGGATCCAGGATGTTTTCACGGTGGGGAAGCTGGCGGCCCTGGGTCTCATCATAGTTGTCGGCTTGGTGCAGATCTGCAAGGGTGAGACACACACACACTCACCCTCTCTCTAGAATGGTTTTCATTATAGCAATCCTGGGTCATGCAAGACGTTTTGCAACTGAAAACTAAGGTTTCTTATTTAGCAAGTTCAGATAGTACCTCCCCGTTTCAGACTGCTTTCTTCGTTTTTGTGCCTACTGAACATGACCCAGGTGCCGAAGGTCAATAGCACCTTAAACAAACTAATAGGACGTTGCGCGTCTGTGATATTTACCCATGTAAGATGTTTTTAATGATCAAAGAGAATATCATGCTATTTCCCTAAAACAACCCCAAAGACATTGATGGTGAATTGGTACTTCTCCAGGTAACTACGAGGGACTGACGCCTCAGGTTGCCTTTGAGTTCAGCATGACGCCCTCGGTTGGGCAGATCGCTCTGGCTTTCCTCCAGGCCTCATTCGCCTTCAGTGGATGGAACTTCCTGAACTATGTCACAGAGGAAGTGGTTGAACCACGACGGTGAGCATCTGGTTCACCGAACATTATTTTCCTTTGCGTTCTATTCTATTCTATTTTAATTTATCAATCCGATGCTGTGTACTGTATATGCAGTCTGGCTGTGAATGCATGAAAGCAAGCATTGTGGAGTGATGCACAGTATGTTGGGATGTTATGGTAGTATATCAATGAAAGAAAAGTGATATAGTTCAATTTTACATTCTATAGAGTTATATTTTGCATATCAGCTGCCTTCTTATTTTCCCAACAATGCAAGATTTATGAGACTGTGTGTTGATTGCATGGTTTGTACAGTATACAGTGTAGATTACCTCATCAATGGTTTGTGTACTGCGTGGATGACCTCATCAGTAGTTTGTGTACCGCGTGGATGACCTCATCAGTAGTTTGTGTACCGTGTGGATGACCTCATCGATAGTTTGTGTACCATGTGGATGACCTCATCGGTAGTTTGTATACCTTGTGGATGACCTCATCGGTAGTTTGTGTACCGTTGGATGACCTCATCGGTAGTTTGTGTACCGTTGGATGACCTCATCGGTAGTTTGTGTACCGTGTGGATGACCTCATCAGTAGTTTGTGTACCGTGTGGATGACCTCATCGGTAGTTTGTGTACCGTGTGGATGACCTCATCGGTAGTTTGTGTACCGTGTGGATGACCTCATCAGTAGTTTGTGTACCATGTGGTTGACCTCATCGGTAGTTTGTGTACCGTGTGGATGACCTCATCGGTAGTTTGTGTACCGTGTGGATGACCTCATCAGTAGTTTGTGTACCATGTGGTTGACCTCATCGGTAGTTTGTGTACCGTGTGGATGACCTCATCAGTAGTTTGTGTACCGTGTGGATGACCTCATCAGTAGTTTGTGTTTTGTATGGATTACCTCATCAGGAACCTACCTCGTGCCATTTACATCTCTATCCCATTGGTGACCTTTGTGTACACGCTCACCAACATCGCCTACTTCTCCGCCATGTCACCCGAGGAGCTGCTCTCATCCAACGCTGTGGCCGTCGTGAGTAACACTGTTGGCTTTGCTTTGTAACATGACAGAAACCTCCTGGCGTACTGGTACTTTAATGGTGTCATTATTTGATTCATTGACCTTTAATATATGTTCAACTCAATGCATGTTCACATAGAGATGCCCTTTAATCATTTTCAAAAAAATACTTGCTGTACATCAAGAGTTATCCCTGGCTTGTATTGAGTCCTAAATGTAAACCTTCTTGTTCTGCTGCAGACATTTGGAGAGAAGCTCCTGGGGATGTTCTCTGTCATTATGCCCATCTCTGTAGCCTTGTCTACGTTTGGAGGCATCAACGGCTACCTCTTCACATCTTCTAGGTGAGGGGGTCAACCCTGGGGAAGATGTCCTCTAGGCTGGCTGTGATTCAATTCACAAGGATACTGCTTTTGGATTGAGACACAGCCATAGAAACGGAGGCGTGTGCATGATTTTTAAGTAAATTAAATGATTGTACATGGGTCTATAAGCCCTCTATGTTTTATTTGTCTTTCTAGATTGTGTTTCTCTGGGGCCAGAGAGGGACATCTACCCAGCCTGCTGGCCATGATCCACTTTAAGAACTGCACCCCCATCCCTGCTCTCCTCTGCTGTGTAAGACTGCCTAACACTACTACGTCTTTACTGTATGTTTTTTTCTCAAACAACACTCAGTGGCCAACATGCAGGTCCTATACCCCTCTACCTTATGTCTTCAATAATGGCCCCTCTCTCTCTCTCTCTCTCTCTCTCTCTCTCTCTCTCTCTCTCTCTCTCTCTCTCTCTCTCTCTCTCTCTCTCTCTCTCTCTCTCTTTCTCTCTCTCTCTGACTTTCAGTGTACTGCCACCATTGTAATCCTGTGTATAGGAGAGACACACAACCTGATCAACTATGTGTCCTTCATCAACTACCTCTCCTATGGAGTCACCATCGCAGGCCTGCTCTACTACCGATGGAAGAAGCCCAAACTTTACAGACCAATTAAGGTATTATTAATCCAGGCATGGTTCAATCATGGCCCCTCTCAGATAAATGATTGACCCAGTAATTGACAAATAAGAGGAAACTACAGAAACACAGTGAACCTGTTCTCATCAACTGTTGAAAACAGAGTAGAAGCAGCTATTTTCCTCTGTCCTCCCCACTAGGGTGATTAATTGGAAGGTGAGACATCATGTGACACTCTCTTCGTTATAAAAACAAATCTGTTCTCATCCCTCCTCATCAGGTAAACCTACTTGTCCCTATCACCTACCTGATGTTCTGGGCCCTGTTACTGGGCTTCAGCCTGTACTCTGAGCCTGTAGTGTGTGGTGTTGGGCTGGTCATCATGCTCACTGGTGTACCAGTCTACTTCCTGGGGGTGCACTGGAAAGCCAAGCCAAAGTGTATCTATAACTTCATCGGTGAGTGTCCTCTTGAGTCCTGCAAATACATGTTTGTTTTAGTAATCCTGGCCTCTTTCTTTGCCCCCCAAAATATCTGAATTTCTGAATTCAACCACATATATTTAATGGTATTCAAACTCCCTAAATCCTACATATAACAAGTGATAAATCATTCTTTATTTAAGTAGACCCAGATACATGGCATTTAAAAGGAATACTACGTTAGTGGTCTGGTCAGACACTTTTTTGTGATGCTAAACGTGGGACCTGTTTTCTCACAGAGTCAGCGACCTATGTGGCACAGAGGCTGTGTTTCGTGGTCTTCCCCCAGTTCGACCCCATCGAGATCAGTCCGATCGAAGAATGGCCCGACAAATCTTCCGACACTCTATCTGGGAAGTCTTAAACTCTTTTTGCCTTCTGAAGTCTTTTTCTTTTTGTATATTCCGTCACTGTACAGACACGGTCACTGTACAGACACGGTCCGTTCCTTTTAGTGGAGCCCCTTGTCTGGTGTCTGGTCACCTGAGACTCATATCCATTTCTTTACAGCTAAGTGGAATTGCCTGCGTTTTGATGCATGGGCCACTTGCAAATTTGTATTATTTTGTTTTTGTACTAAGTCGTCAAGTACAACAAGCTAATGCCAACAGTATCACATTTTGAAACAGACTTCATATGCCCTAAGGAAGTATTTGAGCCTTTTCTGTAACTTTTCAACATTGGCAGTATTTTTGGTTTTAATTGATCTAAGATTGACTGTGTATCATTGTGCCTTATAGGGGAAATTGTGTACCTTATTAACAAAAATGTATCTTACCTATTATTGTAATTTGGATTTTGCTTTGCTTTGGGTGTTCCTTATGAGAATTTGAAAAGCACTGTGGTCTTCCATATTCTGCTTCTTGCCAGTTGTTAATTTGCCACATGACATGACTTCCTCAGATTTGTGAACATATTCAGAACTATCTGAACAAAGACCTCAGAGACTTTGACTGGAATCCTTTGGAAATTAATCTCTTTAGCCAACAGCAGCCAACAACAAAGGTGTTCTGATTATATACTGCTGAATGATAGATGGTTGTAGTTGATAGTTGAGGGTCACTACGTTTTTACAGTACTTAGTTTGTTTAACTCTTGCCATTACCTTTTACACTACTGATTATATGTCATATACTATAAATACACACAACTGTAAAGTTCACAGCTGACTTAATGACCCAAACTCCAATTTACACCAGCGTTATATGGAAGTAAAACTGCTCACACTGCTCACAAAATGCTTGCTGCACTTTTCTAATGCTTGTTTCTAAACTAAGATTCTAATATCAAGTTAACTTATTTTATTTTTTATTCTCTACCACACTTAAAACTAAATGTTGTGCTGGTAACCTGACCAAAATATACAAAAGGCCTTTGCTTTTCCAGTGGAGCACTGTACTGCCATTCCATTTCTCTTCCCCAAACAGAACTCTTTAACTGCTATTGTGTTCTTCAAATGGCCAGGCCCTTGACTGTTACTGTAAAAAGAAACTCATGATATGTTGTATTTCTTTTGAAATGAACATACATTTTAAGTAGCCTAGATTGATAGATATATACTGTATTGTACTAGATAGATGGATACTGTACTTGAAACCACACATTACTCAAGGAACATATTTCATTCCAATAACCAGATAATGATGTAGGATTAGGATATAGTTTGTTAGTACAACATGAGTCTGAGTTGTCTCTCCAACAGCTGCCATGATCATTAAGCCAGTCAGGTAAAACACAGTGCTTATGCAAGTTTTATTACTACTTTATATCCATCTTAGTTCAGATTTCTAGAGCATATGAAGAGATTTTACACTGTAAATTATTTGTAAAGCATCAGGTGTTTACAATGGGTTCTCTACTTGGAATGTTAACTGGAATGTATTTTAGTGCACTTTTTTGTAAATGAGAAAATAACAATAATACCACAATAAATCAAATACCTTTTGGAAATGAATGACTTCATGCTTTGTCTGCTTTGTTTCATTGCCATCATCATTTACCATAATGTTGCACACACTATAAAGTATTCAACTGTTTAAATGTGCCAATAATGTACCGGTAACTGCCAGCCAGAGAGAAAGATTAAAAAAAGTATTTATATGTGGCTTTAAAAAATGTTTTATTTTTTTATTTTACCTTTATTTAACTAGGCAAGTCAGTTAAGAACAAATTCTTATTTACAATGACAGCCTACACCGGCCAAACCCGGACGACGGTGGGCCAATTGTGCGCTGCCCTATGGGACTCCCAATCACGGCCGGTTGTGAAAAATATTATAGCTTATAATGTGTTTTAGGTTCACCTGGTTTACACGGCTGGTACAGTCAGGTATGCAGCACACAACACACCAGGGACTACTATGTTTTGAACAGCATTACTCTTAGTGGATTTGTCTGTTCTATGCAGTGTATTTCTATACCAAATCGGCGAGGTTTGATGATGCAAGGTTTCAAACAGGAAGTAGAGTCAACGCGTTTCAGAGCATTACATGAAGACCACTTTAATGTACTTTCTGTAAATGACGGTGAGTTATTTTGATTATGTGTGTCCTCCAATTATATGACCAGCATTACGTTATATCTGCCACTTAGCTACACGTTTCTCTGGTTGCACACAAGCGAACAGCGACACCAAACATGTTTGTCAACGCAGCTAAAATTGTCTTTGGCTAAAGCAATGCTGTTATTAACACAGATTCGTATAGCATTACACCCACCATTCGTTGTTGATTCCTTCATATAACCTAACATCTTCACCAAGAAGAGACTAAGGACATGGACAGCTTGTTCTCATAGCGTTGCCTGTTTTCTGTTTCCATTTGAACCAGGCGAATAAAGAAAATATGACGGCCAATACAGTGGGTAGACTGTGTTTCCGCAATGTAAATGCACTGGCTCCTATGGTGCGCGTTGGCACCTTACCAATGAGACTGCTGTCCCTGGATTATGGTGCTGATATTGTGTACTCTGAGGTAAATCTGTCAATGGAGGAGGTGTGCTTCATTATATGCATTTTATGGCTTTGGGGCGATTGACTGTCAACATATCTGGTGAAAATGTTGTCTTTGATTACTGTGTTCAATCCATTTTTTAAAAATGTTTTGTAGGAGCTGATTGACATCAAAATGGCACAGTGTCAGAGAGTTGTCAATGGTAGGTTTGTCTCACCTACCCTACTACAGTCCTTTGATTACCGTTGTTGCAATAACTGTCACTGTGAGATGCTAGTGTGTGTGTGTGTGTCGTGTGTGATTTGCAGAGGTCTTGGAGACTGTGGATTTCGTGGCTCCTGATGAGAGAGTGATGTTCAGGACCTGCGAAAAGGAGAAAGACCATGTTGTCTTCCAGATGGTAGGCTACACACGAGAGCCTTCACTGTCTGCAATGTTTCATTAGAGTAATTGGGAGGGGGTGCTATTGAAGTCAATATTTTACATAGACAGGACTCATGTCCTTATTTATTAAACATGTCAATGATGGGACCAACACGACTGTGCCTCTTACTGTATCTACAGGGAACTGCGGACCCAGACAGAGCACTAATTGTGGCGCGACTAGTGTGAGTCTTGAACACTGTGTTTCTGTTGTCCATCTATTCTTTCTGTTTCATTTCCACTGGTATATAGGAAGAACATGTAAGCATATTTTGTCAGCAACTGAGGTGTAGGTTGAGAGGCACTACAATCTGTTCTACCTAGGTTTGCAAAATTTCAGGAACTTTCAATAAATTCCCTGGTTTTCCCGAAATCCCGGTTGGAGATTCCCGGATTCAGGAGGGAATAAGCAGGAAATCCTGAGGCCTCCAACCAGGATTTCTGGAAAACCAGGGAATTTATTGAAAGTTCCTGGAATTTTGCAACCCTAGTTCTACCTCACAAATAAAAAGGAAAGCCTTATTGCCACTTGGCACCTGTTTTTTTTTATATATTCCTCTTTGTAATGTGTAGGGAGAATGATGTGGCTGCCATCGATGTGAACATGGGCTGTCCTAAGGAATACTCTACTAAGGTGGGCTATGAGTGACACAGTCAGCAACCAACAAACAGTCAATGAATGGTCAGTCAGTTCAGACCTAATATAATGTTCACACTGAGGTGACTGTCTGCTGACCCCTCGCTTCTCTGTATCTCCTGCAGGGTGGGATGGGAGCTGCTCTGCTCTCAGACCCCGACAAAATCGAAGCGGTGAGTAGTCAATCTTCGCCCCCCCCCCCACAAATGATCAGTAAGCTCAATCTAATTGAATAATTGAATAGAGCACTGTAGACAAATAAAAAAACAAATTTTCATTCATCTCTCTTTTTCTAGATTCTTAGAACACTTGTGAAAGGAGTGTCCAAACCAGTGACGTGTAAAATCAGAATATTGGCCACAGTAAGTTTAAAAGGACAATGCCGTTTCTACAGCAATTAGATAGGTGTTATGTGTTTTGAGCCAAATTCATTAGTCTTTTGACCTCACTTGTTAAAGATTACATCCGCCATTAAAATTGTACTTGTGAGGCAGACTGACTGACCCCTGTGTTTATGTGTGTGTTCAGGTGGAAGATACTCTTAGTCTGGTTAAGAGAATTGAGAACACAGGTGTGGCAGCTATTGCTGTCCATGGCAGGTAAAGTCCTGTTCTTATCATCCATATATACACTACATGACCAAAAGTATGTGGACACCTGCTTGTCGAACATCTCATTCCAAAATCATGGGCATGAATATGGAGTTGGTCCCCCCTTTGCTGCTATAACCGCCTCCACTCTTCTGGGAAGGCTTTCCACTAGATGTTGGAACGTTGCTGCAGGGACGTGCTTCCATTCAGCCACAAGAATATTAGTGAAATCGGACACTGATGTTGGGCGATTAGGCCTGGCTCGCAGTCGGCATTCCAATTCATCCCAAAGGTGTTCAATGGGGTTGAGGTCAGGGCTCTGTGCAGGCCAGTAAAGTTCTTCCATACTGATCTCGTCAAACCATTTCTGTATGGACCTCGCTTTGTGCACGGGAGCATTGTCATGCTGAAACAGGAAAGGGCCTTCCCCCAACTGTTGCCACAAAGTTGGAAGCACAGAATTGTCTAGAATGTCATTGTATGCTGTAGCGTTAAGATTTCCCTTCACTGGAACTAAGGGGCCTAGTCCGAACAATGAAAAATAGCTCAAGACCATTATTCCTCCTCCACCAAACTTTACAGTTGGCACTATGCATTGGGGCAGGTAGCGTTCTCCTGGCATCCGCCAAACCCAGATTCGTCCGTCAGACTGCCAGATGGTGAAGTGTGATTCATCACTCCAGAGAACGCATTTCCACTGCTCCAGAGTCCAATGGCTGCAAGCTTAACATCACTCCAGCTGACGCTTGGCATGGCGCATGGTGATCTTAGGCTTGTGTGCGGCTGCTTGACCATGAAGCTCCCAACGAACAGTTCTTGTGCTGATGCTTCCAGAAGCTGTTTGGAAATCTGTAGTGAGTGTTGCAGCCGATGACAGACGATTTTTACGCGCTTCAGCACGCGGCGGTCCCGTTCTGTGAGCTTGTGTGACCTACCACTTTGCGGCAGAGCCGTTGTTGCTTCTAGATGTTTTCACTTCACAATAACAGAACTTATAGGTGACCGGGGCAGCTCTAGCAGGGCAGAAATTTGACGAACTGACTTGTTGGAAAGGTGGCATCCTATGACGGTGCCAAGTTGAAAGTCACTGAGCTCTTCAGTAAGGCCATTCTACTGCCAATGTTTGTCTATGGCGATTGCATGGCTGTGTGCTCGATTTGATACACCTGTCAGCAACGGATGTGGCTGAAATGGCCGAATCCACTCATTTGATTGGGTGTCCACATACTATTCTATATATATTGTATTTTGCATTCATCTGATTTTAGATGCTTGATTTTGTGTAAATCAACTGATTTATAGAGACCCAACTCTTTCTGTGGCTCATTTTCTTTTCTTTGGTTTTGCATATCCAAATTAATTTTTGACTGCCTCTACTTCCTCAGGTTAAAAGATGAAAGACCAAGACACCCTGTTCACTGTGACTTCATCCAGGCTATAGCTGAGGCGGTGTCCATTCCTGTCATTGCTAAGTGAGTCGCTCTGTCTCTCTCAAACGTGTTGTGAACACGGAGATAAATCAATGATTCATCTCTATGGTTGTGACTAACTGTCCTTGCCACTTACTGTGTCTTGTTTAGCGGAGGTTCTCTGGACCGGGTCAAAGCCCACGCTGACATCGAGGACTTCCGGAAGGCCACCGGGGCGTCCTCGGTGATGGTTGCCAGGGCAGCTATGTGGAACCCCTCAGTGTTCCGCAGTCAGGGACTGCTGTCTGTGGAGGAGGTCATGGAGGAGTACCTCAAATACGTGAGTCCACCGCCCTACGTCCACCTTACCTCACTCTGCAGGAGACCTACTGTGTTAAAACGCCAAACTCAACTATCACTGTCATATTGTAGATTGACATATTGTGGTATGACATAGGAAAGTTACCTAGGTAATCCAAGGCTTGTCTTTTGATCTGATAATGACGCAATCTCAAACTACAGGGACATAAATCAGAGATGACTTGCTATATGGCAACTTTACCAAGCATATGATAAATTGTGTCATGTTAGAAGCCAATTAAGAAATGTAGGTGCTTTTTGTATTTGTAGGCCATCCGCTATGACAACCATGCCTTCAACACCAAGTACTGCCTCTGTCAGATGCTGAGGGATAAGGTGGAGTCTCCACTGGGGAAGCAACTCAAATCTGCCCAAACCAACGAAGAGATCTGGTACATGTCTTTTGAATCATGATGTCAGAGAACTTGAACTGTGAATTCCAGTATTCTAGTTAATTTCCTAGTAAATGTAGTTATATTTCATATATTATTCTTTTAGTGAACCTTTTTGGTAATAAGTACTCAAACATTGTAGTATTGGTACTCAAGTTTGATGTTTGGGTATTTAACTGTACACCTGTGTTTTCCAGTGAGGGATATGGGCTGCAGGAATACTATAAGAAGACCCAGGCAGAACTACAAGCCAGAAGGGAAGCCATCCAAACCAACCACAATCACCCTGACCACCCTGTTCTAGATGGTGATGTCACCACAATGCGTGTCAAATTTGAACGGTTCGTTCTAAGTCCATTCGGAACTCCTCTTCCACATCTCTCATCAGGTTACAGCAGCACTACCCTCAGTCTGGTGGATGATGTTTAAGGCATACAGTGAGGGAAAAAAGGATTTGATCCCCTGCTGATTTTGTACGTTTGCCCACTGACAAAGAAATGATCAGTCTATAATTTTAATGGTAGGTTTATTTGAACAGTGAGAGACAGAATAACAACAAAAAAATCCAGAACAACGCATGTCAAAAATGTTATAAATTGATTTGCATTTTAATGAGGGAAATAAGTATTTGACCCCCTCTCAATCAGAAAGATTTCTGGCTCCCAGGTGTCTTTTGTACAGATAACGAGTTGAGATTAGGAGCACACTCTTAAAGGGAGTGCTCCTAATCTCAGTTTGTTACCTGTATAAAAGACACCTGTCCACAGAAGCAATCAGATTCCAAACTCTCCACCATGGCCAAGACCAAAGAGCTCTCCAAGGATGTCAGGGACAAGATTGTAGACCTACACAAGGCTGGACCATCGCCAAGCAGCTTGGTGAGAAGGTGACAACAGTTGGTGTGATTATTCGCAAATGGAAGAAACACACGACTGTCAATCTCTCTCGGCCTGGGGCTCCATGCAAGACTCCATGCAGGGCGTTGAAAATGGGTCGTGGATGGGTATTCCAGCATGACAATGACCCAAAACACACGGCCAAGGCAACAAAGGAGTGGCTCAAGAAGTAGCACATTAAGGTCCTGGAGTGGCCTAGCCAGTCTCCAGACCTTAATCCCATAGAAAATCTGTGTAAGGAGCTGAAGGTTCGAGTTGCCAAACATCAGCCTCGAAACCTTAATGACTTGGAGAAGATCTTCAAAGAGGAGTGGGACAAAATCCCTCCTGAGATGTGTGCAAACCTAGTAGCCAACTACAAGAAACGTCTGACCTCTGTGATTGCCAACAAGGGTTTTGCCACCAAGTACTAAGTCATGTTTTGCAGAGGGGTCAAATACTTATTTCCCTCATTAAAATGCAAATCAATTTATAACATTTTTGCATGTGTTTTTCTGGATTTTGTTGTTGTTATTCTGTCTCTCACTGTTCAAATATCTCACTGATCATGTCTTTGTCAGTGGGCAAACGTACAAAATCAGCAGGGGATCAAATACTTTTTTCCCTCACTGTATAGGATAGATATTAAAGCTACAATATGTAACTTTTTGGGCGACCTGACCAAGTTCGCATAGAAATGTAATTTATAGATCTGTTATTCTCATTGAATCAAATCCATTTTTATTTGCCACATGCGCCGAATACAGTGAAATGTTTACTTACAAGCCCTTAACCAACAATGCAGTTTAAGAAAAATAAGTGTTAAGTAAAAAATAATTAAAGAGCAGCAGTAAAATAAAATAACAGTAGGGAGGCTATATACAGGGGTTACTGGTACAGAGTCAATGTGCAGGGGCACAGGTTAGTCGAGGTAATTGAGGTAATATGTACACGTGGGTAGAGTTAAAATGACTATGCATCGATAATAAACAGAGAGTAGCAGCAGCGTAAAAGATCTGGGTAGCTGTGATTAGCTGTTCAGGAGTCATATGGCTTGGGGGTAGAAGCTGTTAAGAAGCCTTTTGGACATAGACTTGGCACTCTGGTATCGCTTGCCGTGTGGTAGCAGAAAGAACAGTCTATGTCTAGGGTGGCTGGAGTCTTTGACAATTTTTAGGGCCTTCCTCTGACACCGCCTGGTATAGAGGTCCTGGATGGCAGGAAGCTTGGCCCCAGTGATATACTGGGCCGTACGTACTACCCTCTGTAGTGCCTTGCGGTCGGAGGCCAAGCAGTTGCCATACCAGGCAGTGATGCAACCAGTCAGGATGCTCTCGATGGTGCAGCTGTATAACTTTTTGAGGATCTGAGGACCCATGCCTCAGTCTCCTGAGGGGGAATAGGCTTTGTCGTGCCCTCTTCACGACTGTCTTGGTGTGTTTGGACCATGATAGTTTGTTGGTGATGTGGATACCAAGGAACTTGAAGCTCTCAACCTGTTCCACTACAGCCCTGTGGATGAGAATGGGGGTGTGCTCAGTCCTCTTTTTTTTCCTGTAGTCCACAATCATCTCCTTTGTCTTGATCACGTTGAGGGGGAGGTTGTTATCCTGGCACCACACGGCCAGGTCTCTGACCTCCTCCCTATAGGCTGTCTCATCGTTGTTGGTGATCAGGCCTACCACTGTTGTGTTATCAGCAAACATAATGATGGTGTTGGAGTCGTGCCTGGCCATGCAGAGTACAGGAGGGGACTTAGCATACACCCCTGAGGGGCCCCCGTGTTGAGGATCAGCATGGCAGATGTGTTGTTACCTACCCTTACCACCTGGGGACGGCCCGTCAGGAAGTCCAGGATCCAGTTGCAGAGGGAGGTGTTTAGTCCCAGAGTCCTTAGCTTAGTGATGAGCTTTGAGGGCACTATGGTGTTGAACGCTGAGCTGTAGTCAATGAATAGCATTCTCACGTAGGTGTTCCTCTTGTCCAGGTGGGAAAGGGCAGTGTGGAGTGCAATAGAGATTGCATCATCTGTGGATCTGTTGGGGCGGTATGCAAATTGGAGTGGGTCTAGGGTTTCAGGGATAGTGGGACTATGGTTTCAGGGATAATGGTGTTGATGTGAGCCATGACCAGCCTTTCAAAGCACTTCATGGCTACAGACGTGAGTGCTACGGGTCGGTAGTCATTTAAGCAGGTTATCTTTGTGTTCTTGGGCACAGGGACTATGGTGGTCTGCTTGAAACATGTTGGTATTACAGACTCAGTCAGGGACATGTTGAAAATGTCAGTGAAGACACTTGCCAGTTGGTCAGCGCATGCTCGGAGTACGCGTCCTGGCCATCCGTCTGGCCCTGCGGTCTTGTGAATGTTGACCTGCTTAAAAGTCTTACTCACATTGGCTACAGAGAGCGTGCTCACATAGTCATCCGGAACAGCTGATGCTCTCATGCATGCTTCAGTGTTGCTTGCCTCGAAGCAAGCATAGAAGTGATTTAGCTCATCTGGTAGTCTCGTGTCACTAAGCAGCTCGCGGCTGTGCTTCCCTTTATAGTCTGTAATAGTTTGCAAACCCTTCCACATCTGACGAGCATCGGAGCCGGTGTAGTACGATTCAATCTTAGTCCTGTATTGACGCTTTGCCTGTTTGATGGTTCGTCGGAGGGCATCCGGGTTAGAGTCCCACTCCTTGAAAGTGGCAGCTCTCGTGGTCCTCTGTAGCTCAATTGGTAGAGCATGGCGCTTGTAACGCCAGGGTAGTGGGTTCGATCCCCGGGACCACCCATACGTAAAAATGTATGCACACATGACTGTAAATCGCTTTGGATAAAAGCGTCTGCTAAATGGCTTATTATTATTATTATTATTATTACCCTTTAGCTCAGTGCGGATGTTGCCTGTAATCCATGGCTTCTGGTTGGGGTATGTACAGTGGGGAGAACAAGTATTTGATACGCTGCCGATTTTGCAGGTTTTCCTACTTACAAAGCATGTAGAGGTCTGTAAAAATCCAGAAAATCACATTGTATGATTTTTAAGAAATGTATTAGCATTTTATTGCATGACATAAGTATTTGATCACCTACCAACCAGTAAGAATTCCGGCTCTCACAGACCTGTTAGTTTTTCTTTAAGAAGTCCTCCTGTTCTCCACTCATTACCTGTATTAACTGCACCTGTTTGAACTCGTTACCTGTATAAAAGACACCTGTCCACACACTCAATCAAACAGACTCCAACCTCTCCACAATGGCCAAGACAAGAGAGCTGTGTAAGGACATCAGGGATAAAATTGTAGACCTGCACAAGGCTGGGATGGGCTACAGGACAATAGGCAAGCAGCTGGTGAGAAGGCAACAACTGTTGGCGCAATTATTAGAAAATGGAAGAAGTTCAAGATGACGGTCAATCACCCTCGGTCTGGGGCTCCATGCAAGATCTCACCTCGTGGGGCATCAATGATCATGAGGAAGGTGAGGGATCAGCCCAGAACTACACGGCAGGACCTGGTCAATGACCTGAAGAGAGCTGGGACCACAGTCTCAAAGAAAACCATTAGTAACACACTACGCCGTCATGGATTAAAATCCTGCAGCGCACGCAAGGTCCCCCTGCTCAAGCCAGCGCATGTCCAGGCCCGTCTGAAGTTTGCCAATGACAATCTGGATGATCCAGAGGAGGAATGGGAGAAGGCCATGTGGTCTGATAAGACAAAAACAGAGCTTTTTGGTCTAAACTCCACTCGCCATGTTTGGAGGAAGAAGAAGGATGAGTACAACCCCAAGAACACCATCCCAGCAGTGAAGCATGGAGGTGGAAACATCATTCTTTGGGGATGCTTTTCTGCAAAGGGGACAGGACGACTGCACCGTATTGAGGGGAGGATGGATGGGGCCATGTATCGCGAGATCTTGGCCAACAACCTCCTTCCCTCAGTAAGAGCATTGAAGATGGGTCGTGGCTTGGTCTTCCAGCATGACAACGACCCGAAACACACAGCCAGGGCAACTAAGGAGTGGCTCCGTAAGAAGCATCTCAAGGTCCTGGAGTGGCCTAGCCAGTCTCCAGACCTGAACCCAATAGAACATCTTTGGAGGGAGCTGAAAGTCCGTATTGCCCAGCGACAGCCCCGAAACCTGAAGGATCTGGAGAAGGTCTGTATGGAGGAGTGGGCCAAAATCCCTGCTGCAGTGTGTGCAAACCTGGTCAAGACCTACAGGAAATGTATGATCTCTGTAATTGCAAACAAAGGTTTCTGTACCAAATATGAAGTTCTGCTTTTCTGATGTATCAAATACTTATGTCATGCAATAAAATGCAAATTAATTACTTAAAAATCATACAATGTGATTTTCTGGATTTAAAAAAAATTACAGACCTCTACATGCTTTGTAAGTAGGAAAACCTGCAAAATCGGCAGTGTATCAAATACTTGTTCTCCCCACTGTACATACGGTCATAGTGGGGACGACGTCATCGATGCACTTATTGATGAAGTCAGTGACTGGAACATATTCCAGTCTGTGCTAGCAAAACAGTCCTGTAGCTTAGAATCTGCGTCATCTGACCACTTCCTTATTAAGCGAGTCACTGGTGCTTATAAGCAGGAATCAGGAGGATAGAATTATGGTCAGATTTGCCAAATGGAGGGCGAGGGAGAGCTTTGTATGCGTCTCTGTGTGTGGAGTAAAGGTGGTCTAGAATTTTTTTTCCTCTGGTTGCACATTTAACATGCTGGTAGAAATGAGGTAGAACCGATGTAAGTTTCCCTGCATTAAAGTCCCCGGCCACTAGGCGTGCTGCCTCTGGATGAGCGTTTTCCTGTTTTCTTATGGCCTTAAACAGCTCATTGAGTGCAGTCTTAGTGCCAGCATCGGTTTGTGGTGGTAAATGGACAGCTACCAAAAATATAGATGAAAACTCTCTTGGTAAATAGTGTGGTCTACAGCTTATCATGAGATACTCAACCTCAGGTGAGCAAAACCTTGAGACTTCCTTAATATTAGATTTCGTGCACCAGCTGTTGTTTACACAAACCGCCACCACTTGTCTTACCGGAGTCAGCTGTTCTATCCTGCCGATGTAGCGTATATATCCCGCCAGCTGTATGTTATCCATGTTGTTGTTTAGCCTCGACTCGGTGAAACATAAGATATTACAGTTTTAAATTTCCTGTTGGTAGGATATCCTTGATCGTAGGTCGTCCATTTTGTTTTACAATGATTGTACGTTGGCTAATAGGAGTGATGGAAGAGGCAATAGGACTGATGAAAGCAATTCTAAGAAGCAGTAGATCTGTTCTATGTGCACTATTTTTATGCTTCCCGTTCTTAAGTTTAGTTTTTGCATATTTTACTGTCAGTTTTGTACACCAGCTTCAAACAGCAGAAAATACAATTATTTTGGTTATGGAAAAGATACAGTACACAAATTAACTTTTAACAAGGCACACCTGTTAATTGAAATGCATTCCAGGTGATTACCTCATGAAGCTGGTTGAGAGAATGCCAAGCGTATGCAAAGCTGTCATCAAGGCAAAGGGTGACTATTTGAAGAATCTCAAATATAAAATATATTTTGATTTGTTTAACACTTTTTTGGTTACTACATGATTCCATATGTGTTATTTCATAGTTTTGATGTCTTCACTATTCTACAAAGTAGAAAATAGTAAAAATAAAGAAAAACCCTTGAATGAGTAGGTGTGTCTAAACTCTTGACTGGTACTGTATGTCACAGCGGTTTAGATGGTACAATGATTCTCTACACGATGACTACTTGTTTTGTCACAAAACTATTAGAATTTCAGCAACCAGGAAACGGTGGAACGATTTCTGCATAGTGCACTTTTAAGACCATTGTTTTATGTCTAGTAAGTCACTAGTTGAGTTGTGTAGGCAGGTAGTGGGAGGTCCTGTAATTTATGACTGTGAATATTACATATTGCGCATATTATTATGACTGTACATATATTGATGGGAGTGTGATATTTGTGTGTCAGGAGGGAGTACCCTGGAGAGTTCAGCCCTAAGATGTTCCTGCTGGAATGGAGCCGCAAGGAGAACTTGGAGCAACCACGTTATGAGACGGTAAAATGACCACTTTAGATTAACAATGGTCTTTTAACATACAAGTTCTCAAAACCAGAATGCATTTATGTGTAGTGTGCCTATGTGCATTGATTTCTAACTAAATGCATTGTGTATGATGTTTTCAGGTACAGCGCTCTCAAGACCGGGCGTTCCAATCCATAGTAACGATGACAGGGAAAAAGTACAGATCCACTCTGTGGTGAGTTATTAGTGAAAGTGTTAGACATTTTAATTGTTAGTCATTTAGCATACGCTCTTATCCAGAGCGACTTAAAGTTAGTGCATTCACCTTAAGATAGCTAGGTGGGACAACTACATATCACAGTTAATAGCTAGGTTTCCATCTAATTGGCGACAGATTCTCATACGAATATGCAAGATTCCGCATAAAAACAATATGCGCATTTTCAAGTGCGAGTGTTAGTTCACAAAAGGCTTAATTCGTTGTATTTATATTTGTGACCAAGTTAAACCCTGGGAATGTAAAGCTTGATAACACTGTTATAACACTTAATAATGTTTAAAAGCAGTGTTATTTACTTATACAAATGCTAAATTACACTGTATTCACACATAATAACACGTTCTCTTTTATATCCATGCAGGGAGAAGTCAAAGAAATATGCAGAGCAGGCTTCTGCTATAGTATGTCTACGTGTCCTAGGACTACCAGAGGGGCGGGCGGGTGAAGAGTACTCTGGGTTGGTGGGCAAGAGGAAGAGGGAGGAGAAGAGCAACAAGACGCCAGACGAGGAGGACGCCACTGCATACTCTGGAGCCAGGAAAAGATACCTGTCTGAAAACCCAGAAGAGCAACAGGTAGCCACGGAAGGCAACAGGTCACCAACTATTCCAAATGGTGTACAGCACAAGACAAGCAGAGCCTGACTACTGCACCGTGTAACAACTGTGTAAAATGACTGCTTTATAACCGCAATAAGACAGCATGCACCTTTTATATTAAATGGTGGCTAGTTTGCAGCAGGGGTCAGCTCTTACCATGGGGAGTGATTGATACAGTAGCGGCCATATTATTGTGAGATTGAGACATTGCAACAAGAGTAGCCTACAGTGAGTGTCTGAGATATTCTGACAGCCCCCCCCCCCATAGTCAAACATACATCAGCATAAGGCGTTCAATGCTGTTTATTTTTTCTCCTGGATTATTTTGTTTAGGGACAACAAGCCTGTTGGGTGTTGGTTTGCAGAAAGCATGCTCTGCATGGGATTATTAAATGGGCATTTGTTTTTGTTTTTGATCAACCAAACTGGTAATCGGATTAGTTTCCGAAGAAACGGGTACAAATGGGTAATGACAGTATGTCAGGCTACTTGAAATCACACATTTTGCTTACTCTTGCAATATTGAACGTTTTCTTCTGTAAAGTCACAATGGAAAACCACTTATCAACTTTCTGCACTATTCATATTGACCAGCAGTGTATGTACAGTGTAATGAAATCTGCCAGAGGAGGGCAGTACTGTATAATGAGTTAATTTTCTCAGACAGTATTTATTGCACCATTGTCTCACATGGTACCATACAAAATTAGGAAAACTTGCCTTTGATCTGTTTTCATCCTAAATGAATTGGTTGTTGCTCTTTAACTGTTACAAAATAAACGTTTCTGTTGATTGTGTACCTTGAGAGTTGGCTGCTATTTAATCAATAATTGTTTCTTTGTTTTTAATTTAACAGTTTGATTCTAATTATCTTTAAGTATCCAGAGACACTGCCTTGCCAGGTGACTTGATATTCTAATAATTGTGAAGTAGCCTGCACAGCACCCTCTCTCACCAGCTACTGTACGCAGGCTGATGCCTGTGGTGGATTTAGCTGACGTCATGAACGGAGCTGTCTGTCAATGCTTTGTTTGTAATATGGAAGTTTAGTGAGTAGACTGACGGCTTCTTCATGGGTCATCAAGAGTAACTACGGACAAACTATTGTCTATGCGTCATTTTTATTTGCATAACTGAACTGGTAAAGTATCGAGAGATTATAACGTCGTAATAAATGTCGTCTGAAGGGGACAAGCATTTTGGAATCGCTTCAACTATTTACAACTTCGGATAGGCTTCTTGTTGCTATAAATAGTCAAAACAAAAATTATTTCCTCCTTATATCGTTAACATTTTGAATGCAGTTTTGAAACAACGGCAAAAAACCCACTCGTCAGACCGAATGAGTACTGTCAATTTTAGCGGCAATGAGGAGCTGGACTTCAGACTTATTTTCGGGGAGGACGCGCAACAACAGCTAGGCCCCGCAGGTGAGTTCTCTATATCTTTTTTTTGCAACATTGTAGTCGCTGTATTCTCCAAAACAGTAATATAATGTTATAAAGTTAACCATTCGGTGCCAATTTACCGTTTTGCCTTGGCTACCTGACGCTATCTGGTCCTGGAGCCAAAGTAGCCGAACTACGAATGTAGGCAGCAGTCATTGACCTACATGTGTCGGCTACTGTCTTGTAGTGCAGGGTTCCCCAACTGGCGGCCCACGGGCCGAATTTGGCCCGCGGGTTATTTTATTTGTTGGACATAAGACTGTAAAAACACCAGCAAATCAGCTCCAAGTGTTTTTAATTTTGGAAATATTTTCCAAAGTACTCATAATAGAGATATATATGTGTGATCATATACAAATGTAAGCAAGGTTTGAAATGATTATGTTTTAGTTAAATATATCTGATCTACAAATTATTTGCAATTATGTTCTGGTCTCCTGACCATCCTCTCAAGAAAAAATCGGCTAGTGGCTGAATCTAGTTAATTATCCCTGTTGTAGGGTAGCAATTGTAGCCTAATGAACCTAGACTGTCAGATTGAGTTGAAAAAGCATTTACTTTTTATATCTTTAAATGTGTAGGTTACTTAGGCAACATGAATGTTTTGAAAGTTCTGTCTAACACTTATAACACACTTACAGTACCAGTCGAAAGTTTGGACACATTTTACATTTACATTTTAGTCATTTAGCAGACGCTCTTATCCAGAGCGACTTACAGTTAGTGAGTGCATACATTATTATTTTTATTTTTATTTTTATTTTTTTATACTGGCCCCCCGTGGGAATCAAACCCACAACCCTGGCGTTGCAAACGCCATGCTCTACCAACTGAGCTACCTCCCTGCCAGCCATTCCCTCCCCTACCCTGGACGACGCTGGGCCAATTGTGCGCCGCCCCATGGGTCTCCCGGTCGCGGCCGGCTACGACAGAGCCTGGATCACACCTACTCATTCCAGGGTTTTTCTTTATTTTTACTATTTTCTACATTGTAGAATAATAGGGAAGACATCAAAACTATGAAATAACACATTAGGGATCATGTAGTAACCAAACAAGTGTTAAACAAATCAAAATATATTTTAGATTTTAGATTCTTCAAATATCCACCCTTTGCCTTGATGACAGCTTTGCACACTCTTGGCATTCTCTCAACCAGCTTCATGAGGTAGTCACCTGGAATGCATTTCAATTAACAGGTGTGCCTTCTTAAAAGTTAATTTGTTGAATTTCTTTCCTTAATGCGTTTGACCAATCAGTTGTGTTGTGACAAGGTAGGGGGGGTATACAGAAGATAGCCCTATTTGGTAAAAGACCAAGTCCATATTATGGTAAGAACAGCTCAAATAAGCAAAGAGAAACGACAGTCCATCAGTACTTTAAGACATGAAGGTCAGTCAGTCCGGAAAATTTCAAGAACTTTGAAAGTTTCATCAAGTGCAGTCGCTAAAACCATTAAGCGCTATGATGAAACTGGCTCTCATGAGGACCACCACAGGAATGGAAGACCCAGAGTTACCTTTTTTTTTATTTATTTTTTATTTAACCTTTATTTAACCAGGTAAGCCAGTTGAGAACAGGTTCTCATTTACAACTGCGACCTGGCCAAGATAAAGCAAAGCAGTGCAATAAAAACAACACAGAGTTACATATGGGGTAAAAAACATAAAGTCAAAAATACAACAGAAATATATATATACAGTGTGTGCAAATGTAGCAAGTTATGGAGGTAAGGCAATAAATAGGCTATAGTGCAAAATAATTACAATAGTATTAACACTGGAATGCTAGATGTGCAAGAGATTATGTGCAAATAGAGATACTGGGGTGCAAAAGAGCAAAATAAATAACAATATAGGGATGAGGTAGTTGGGTGGGCTAATTTCAGATGGGCTGTGTACAGGTGCAGTGATCGGTAAGGTGCTCTGACAACTGATGCTTAAAGTTAGTGAGGGAGATAAGAGTCTCCAGCTTCAGAGATTTTTGCAATTCGTTCCAGTCATTGGCAGCAGAGAACTGGAAGGAATGGCGGCCAAAGGAGGTGTTGGTTTTGGGAATGACCAGTGAGATATACCTGCTGGAATGCATACTACGGGTGGGTGCTGCTATGGTGACCAATGAGCTAAGATAAGGCGGGGATTTGCCTAGCAGTGATTTATAGATGGCCTGGAGCCAGTGGGTTTGACGACGAACATGTAGTGAGGACCAGCCAACAAGAGCGTACAGGTCACAGTGGTGGGTAGTGTATGGGGCTTTGGAGACAAAACGGATGGCACTGTGATAGACTACATCCAATTTGCTGAGTAGAGTGTTGGAGGCTATTTTGTAAATGACATCGCCGAAGTCAAGGATCGGTAGGATAGTCAGTTTTACGAGGGCATGTTTGGCAGCATGAGTGAAGGAGGCTTTGTTGCGAAATAGGAAGCCGATTCTAGATTTAACTTTGGATTGGAGATTCTTTATGTGAGTCTGGAAGTTGAGTTTACAGTCTAACCAGACACCTAGGTATTTGTAGTTGTCCACATACTCTAGGTCAGACCCGTCGAGAGTGGTGATTCTAGTCGGGTGGGCGGGTGCCAGCAGCGTTCGATTGAAAAGCATGCATTTAGTTTTACTAGTGTTTAAGAGCAGTTGGAGGCTACTGAAGGAGTGTTGTATGGCATTGAAGCTCGTTTGGAGGTTTGTTAACACAGTGTCCAATGAAGGGCCAGATGTATACAAAATGGTGTCGTCTGCGTAGAGGTGGTTCTGAGAGTCACCAGCAGCAAGAGCGACATCATTGATATACACGGAGAAAAGTGTCGGCCCAAGAATTGAACCCTGTGGCACCCCCATAGAGACTGCCATAGGTCCAGACAACAGGCCCTCCGATTTGACACACTGAACTCTATCTGAGAAGTAGTTGGTGAACCAGGCGAGGCAGTCATTTGAGAAACCAAGGCTATTTACTCTGCTGCAGAGGATAAGTTCATTAGAGTTACCAGCCTCAGAAAAGGACACCAATAATAAGAAGAGACCTGCTTGGGCCAAGAAACATGAGCAATGGTCATTAGACCGGTGGAAATGTGTCCTTTGGTCTGGAGTCCAAATTTGAGATTTTTGGTTCCAACTGCCGTGTCTTTGTGAGACGCGGTGTGGGTGAACGGATGATCTCCGCATGTGTATTTCCCACCGTAAAGCATGGAGGAGGTGTTGTTATTGTGTGGGGGTGCTTTGCTGGTGACACTGTCTGTGGTTTATTTAGAATTGAATGCACACTTAACCAGCATGGCTACCACAGCATTCTACAGCAATACGCCATCCCATCTGGTTTGGGCTTAGTGGGACTATCATTTGTTTTTCAACAGGACAATGACCCAACACACCTCCAGGCTGTGTAAGGGCTATTTTACCAATAAGGAGAGTGGAGTGCTGCATCAGATCACCTGGCCTCCACAATCCCCTGATCTCAACCCAATTGAGATGGTTTGGGATGAGACGGACCGCAGAGTGAAGGAAAAGCAGCCAACAAGTGCTCAGCATATGTGGGAACTCCTTCAAGACTGTTGGAAAAGCATTCCAGGTGAAGCTGGATGAGAGAATGCCAAGAGGTGTGCAAAGCTGTCATCAAGGCAAAGGGTGGCTATTTGAAGAATCTCAAATATAAAATATATTTTGATTTGTTTAACACTTTTTTGGTTACTACATGATTCCATATGTATTATTTCATAGTTTTGATGTCTTCACTATTATTATTATACACTGCTCAAAAAAATAAAGGGAACACTTAAACAACACAATGTAACTCCAATTCAATCACACTTCTGTGA